AACCTATTTGCTATTATCTACATTAGCAAGTAGAATTATATTTGTTAAAATAATTTCTGCTTCTTCTCAATGTGAATTGAACCTCTATAAATTTCCGGGACATCAAGAGACCATATCCTAGCTTTGATTATTTTAGGTGTGCTCATATTCATCATCAGTAGACATTATTTCCCATCAGATCCTTTATCTTTAAAGTACAAAGGAATGTAATTTGACAACTGAAGTAGTTCATTTATATATTTAAGGCTTAGATGTACAGCCATCTGAATCAGCTGACTAATCTCAAGAATCCAAAGATAAGATATATGAAATCCAAAATCTGTAAATAATTCTTTTCATAATTCATTTTCTGGCAGCACTCGCTCCTGCAGAGGTTACTACAGCCATGATTCTCAAACTATGGTCCACAGAGATCCACCAGGTATTCTATAGCTTTGGTTGACCACAGCCCAATTACTACCTTAGCCCTCACAAGCCTCCTTACTATCTCAGCCATCTTCCAATCTTCATCACCAATCAGCTGTTCATTTGCTCATGACTTCAACTCCTGTATCCCTTTTCCCTGCCATTAATTTCCTTTGATGTCATATAGCTTTCCTGGATAATGTGTCATGACCCCATCGGATTCCGGTTCACAGGAAGAGGAATTGGAATCGGGACTGTCTAACAGGGATGGCATGTCTCCCTTGGAATGTTTGGAGAGGCCAGGGGCTGAGGACGATGCTGTCCCAGCCCCCTCAGGCATTGGGGGAGGTGGTTGACCGGAGAGCTGCCTGCCCTCACAGATATGGGGGAGGATCAGCTACAGACAGCAGATCCCCTCTGATGAGGAACAGCTGCCTCCACCACTCGATCCAAAGGCACAGAGAGTAGAGCAGAGGCAAGGGATGAGAGGCTGCTTGGGAGAATGTCACCCCACCCTCCTCCCAAGGAACATCTGGCATAGGTTGACTTAAGAAGCTCAGGGAATCTGTCAGGAACAATCGTTTGCTTTGGCTTACACTCCCCCAGCTTTGGAAAAACTCAGCCTTGACTCTTGTTTCTGCCTGTGCCTTGCCTTTGCCTTGTGGACTTGCTTTTGGCCTCATGGACTTGTCTGCCCCTGTGGAATTGCCTTGCCATTTGGGCCTTGACTCTGATCTTGCCTCGTGAGCTTGCGTCTTCTCTTTGGACTTCCTCTCTGCCTTTGCGAAATGGTTTAGGATGTTTACTGGCTTGTGCTTATGGGACTGAGGATGGCTGCCTTTAGGGAAATGTGAGGTGGAGCCTTATGGGCTGTTGTAGGGCCGTTTGTTGTAGCAGTTAACTCTATTGATGCATGTCTCTGCCTAGGCGACCTGGGTCTTAACAATGCTGTATGACTTGCATTTCCTTCCAAAGATCCTTCTCTGTGGAGAATGATGGCACTTGATCAGATGTTGCTTGATGGTTTCAGATTGGTTTACAGCATGACTTGGTGGTGGTGTTTACTTCATTTACTTCATGTTAAAAAAGGATCAAGATTATTTTTAGGAATGCAGTGAGATGTCCAAATATTAGTTAAAAACATAATTTCCGTATTTGTATACCACAAAGGTTCAGTCTGGTTTCGTTCAACAAAATACACTTCCATTTATTAACTTCCACTAAAAATCCAAGAACATACATCGGATTAGTGAATAGATAGGAATTAGTTACTAATACTTTTTATCCACATGTAAATGTACATATTTTTGTCTTGATCTGCAAACTGTATTACATGACATTTCAGTGTGAAATCGCAGTGTCATTCAGTTGGCAAGAAAAAATATTTCAATATTTTTCAAATACAGAGCTCCGACTTTGTGTTTTCAGCAGATGGGAGAGTATGTGGTAGGCTTATCCAGCTATAAAACATATTTCACTGAGTCAGAAAATTAACTTTTTTCTCTTTCCAACTGATTCAGAGTCTGAACACTTTTAACGTTTTTAATAAATGAGTTACATCTGTAGTTTTTTTAAAAAAAACAATTTAGTCAAGATTTTGGAGTAATTTTATTAAAAATTTTAAGAAGAAAAATGAAACTAATGTAAATGTAAAAAAGAAGAAAAGAGAAAGAAATCAAAGAGAAAGGTGAAAGTGCAAGAAAGGGGGAAAAGGAAAAATAGAAAAGAAAGAAAAAAGATACAAAGTAGCTTCTGATCTTTTTTACAGCAGTTACAGATGACATTGATGTCCATGACTTATGACATTCCTTTAACAACAATTTAGTTATGACAGCCTTGAAAAAATGATTTACCACCAGTCCCTACACTTGCAAGCATTGTACCACCCACACAATCATGTGACCACAATTCAGACGCTTAGCAACTGGCTCACATTTATGACCAAGGGCAGCATCCTATGATCACATGATTGTGGTTTCCGACCTTCCCAGTTGGTTTCTGCCCTCTCAGAAAGTTCCATCGTCTTTATCAAATATTCCTCCATTGTGGGTAATGCAGAATCTTCCTATTTTTGTGCATGCAATAACCTTGCTGCAGTGATCAAGTACAAAAACAAATTTCTAAGACTTTTTTCCAATTGTTTGTCCAGCAATTCCAAAAGAAAAGTCTTAATTTTCTAGCTTTTACATATCCACCAAGCATGATACAATTCTCCTCTTGTTCACATGTCCAATATTTGAATCTGAAGTGCTTTCATACATTCCAGACAATTTCTCCAGTGACATATACTCACGAAACATGACTGTATAAAAATTATCTTTAAGATTGTAACATAAGTGTAAATTTCAATCCTTTCAACCACACATTTTCCCATTGTTTCATCTGTTTTATTGTAACCAAAATTTTAGTCCACTTTATCAAACATTCCAGAAATTGTTTTTATATTTCACATTTCAATAAAAGTTTATACATTTTAGCAATTAACATGTTCATCATTTGTGCACAATTCCATTTCAAATTCAGCCTTACGATGTTCAAAACCACAATTTCTTTTATCTACTTTAAAACTTTCTGGTAATTGTAAATAAGAAAACCACTGTCCCTCTGCCACTAGTTCTTTATTTTACATTCTTCCTAACACAATACTAATATCTCACAATAAGTTAGCCAAATTTGTTTGCCTATTATTTCTTGTCTATAAAATGCTTGTTATAAGAGTCAGAAAGATGTTTTCAAGCACAACCTGAATTTATATCTCTTCCATTCTCAATATAGCACAAATAACATAATTATTTTTAAATTTTAATTAACTTCAACTTCATTGTACCTCAAATATCCCTGCCACCTTGATCTTATGCCATATCCTTTTAACTCAAAAGCCTTCTATTTCTCAAGAACACCTACTCTTTGATCCAAACCAAACAGCAAGAGATGTTTCTTTCAAGAGTGTGTGCATACACACACACATGTATCCAACATCACGAGAAGGGGGAAGGAAAACTCCATATCTTTTTCTGATATGTGCCTTTTGTAGGCAAATTACATCATCTTAAATTTTTTTCAAATAATGACTTTTTTTCACTTTTGGGGAGCATTTTGCTCCATTTACATTTTACATTAATCACTTGTAATCCATAATCACAAAAAAATTAGATAAACCAATACTTATAGCACCTAATTCAGTATAATCCCTTCCAGGTTCCTCTGGAGTTTTTGTGGTCTCCTCTGACACTTTCATATGAATCTCTTCCAATTCTTCTCTGAATTTTTCTATAAATTTCCACACCTTCTGCACAGAATTCAACTGAAAACTCTGCTATTTAAAAGTAAAAAAACATATCTTCCAATTTGTTCCATCAAAATAGGATCCTGTTTTAATCTCCCAGTCAAAAAAAAAATACTCCTTTCTCTTACACAAAGTTGTGGTAGTTAATTTATTTAAGAGCAATTATATCTATATTGCCAATACTTAATGCAAAACTTAAACATTTTTTTCTTCCTGACAAAATGCGTGAAAGCATCCCTTACAACAAACTTGCAACGTCACGAGATGTGTCACAATGTAGCGTGACTTTTTTTTCCATTGCTGGCAATGGGGTGGGTGCTGTTTCGCTATGATGCATCCGGCCCATGGGCCGGCAGTTTGACACCCCTGCCTTAGAATATTTCTTGTTCTTGCAAATATAGAATTTATTCTATACACTTTTTATCATTTTATGCCTCTATATACGCCTCTGCCCAATACAAAAAAAATTGCCAGGACTTTAATAATCTTTTCTCTGATATCCTCACTAGAATCCTATGACCTTGCTCTAAATCATAAAAAAAATCTTATTCTCTCAATCAAATATAGCCAGATTATCTAGTTCTCTTTCCAACTGTTGGGAACTTCTCTCCTTCTCTCTAAAATTTCTACTTTGTCATCAATTTGTTTTATCTCTCCAGAGGCTTGTTACAGCACTTTCCATCATCTTGGCTTCTTCTTTCATCTCTTCTTTCCTCTTTACAAGTTTTTCATCCATTTTTTTCTTAAGAGCTGTCAATTTAGTATCAAGAGATTGTATCTTATTTGCCCATTTGCTAACACTATTTCTGAAGCAAACCTGATGAAATTCCTTTTTCTGCAGGTTCTTCTAGTGATCTCATCTCCTCTCCTCCATTCTTGTTGCTTTTCTTGTGGTTGTCATTATATTATAATCCAAAAATGAAAGTGTCTCAAACAAGGGAAAATTAAAGGCAAGTTTCCCTATTTTTCGTCTTTCTGTGCTTTCGTCCCTAATAGCACTAATTATATTCAACATCACAGTCAACATCTCCATATTTACAGTCAGTGTCATAGTCTGGCTTATTATCTTATAATTATCTTTTGTTTCGTACAGTCCATGAGTTGTATGCATTCTTTAATAATAAAAAAATATTCCCACTAGTTGTTTTGGCTAATTTAATTCTAATTTATTTAAAAGCACTTTTGCCAAAAAAAATAATCTTTCAAAATAACCATCCCTTTTATCATTTTTAAAACTTCTTACACTGACTTAGTAAGCTTTTTGTCAGGTTTCTGAGTTTTTAGAATCATTTTCTTTATTTCTTTATAATCCAGAAAAAGTAGTAACTAAGTGAAATCTTATCCTGTCACCTAGAAAACCTGTCTTTAGCTCTAAGTTTATTAAAAACCAAAAATGATTAAGATATGAGGTTCAGCAGAACTGTGTGTCCATAAAGGAAATATTGATGTTTGTAAGCTTGATGGAAATCCCTCAACCCTCTACTGCTCAGCTCATAAACCAACTAAAGAAACCCCAGTTCCTACAGTTTACTTAAAAGGAGCAGCTGTCCAGAGTGCAAATGAGTGATTTCACAATTATTTTTTTCCAGAGACACTTCACTGACTAGAATTCACAATCTGGCCTCTAATCTCACCATAATGTTATACGTTATTGCCATGAAATCTCACTAGAATAATCAGGATTTTTATTTTATTTTTTTAAATGAAAGTTTGCTGCACTTATATAATTTTGCCAGCATACATTTTTCCCCCCTTGCTTGGACATTTTCAATTTAGTTGAGATGAACAAACATAAAAAGCTATTTAATTAGAACTATATATCCCTATTGCAGTTCCTATATTGTAAGTACTCCTAAAGTACATTCTAATCCATGGAATGCAGGTACCACATAATCTTTAAAAAAATGAAAACAGATTAGTTCTCTTGAGTTTCTTGATTCTTCAATGCAGATCAGACATAGTGCTCACTTGTTCCCATCTGAATCCTTAAGATATTCTTCTTTTAGTTTTATTTTAATGTTATTTTCTTCTCCCATATCATAATTTTTTATTTCTCATTTTAAATTGTTTCTAAAGTGAATAAGGATAGCTTCACTTTTATGTTCAGTTCAAATGATGGCCTGTTTTTTCTGACAAAGAAACATTCCACTACTATACTTTGCCAAGTCAGTATCAGAATGGTCAATAACAGATGGTACATAGGAATTTAAAAGTACATTATATTACTCAAAAGAAACTGGTATGTTTGAGCATTTGCTAACAAGCAGTAATTATTTTCAATATGTGTTCACCATACTTAATAGTAGATCTTAATCCACTTTTTCACTCCTCTGTTCAGATTATATATGTGGCTATTTTCCTATCTTCCTTCCTTTTTAAAATCCTTTTTATTTCTTAAAATTTTTCATTGTTGTCTTTACATTACATTCAAGGAAGTAGTGTAAAAACATAAGCTCTGTGATGTTTTGTTTTCCAAATGCCCAAATACCCAAACGTTTACAGGAAGATTAAATAGTTAAACTTAAAATTGTGAGATACATTTCAGCAAAGCCATAACTAATAAAATGCTAAAAAACAGAGAAGATCTGTTTCACTTATTAAAGTTTTCTGAAGGCATCCAGTGTTGGAGACCTATGTTGTAAATGTCAGGAGGAAAAGCTTTTTTAAAAAACACTTTTTTCTGACCAGGGAGAAATAAATATGGCACCATGACTACTTTCTTAGGCTATCACGTCATACAATGTACTCATAGAAGAATGTGGCATCAGAATATTCTTTTAAAATGTTCTTTAAAAATCCATTCTTTTAAAGTGGAATAATATGGATAACAGGAAGCATCATAGGGGGACATTATCTAGGGAAGAAATATGAGTGATGCTGTTACTTTCTCATAACAAACACATTAAGCTTCCTGTTATCATTTTTTATACACATAAACCCTCTCCTGAAAGGTTTTGAGGGCTGTGGCAACCTATTAACAAAAATTAATCAAGTGTTCTCAAAACTGCAACCTGAAAATTAGATTGCAATAACCTTTCAGATTATCTCCAATTTAAGGAAACTTTCAGCTATTCAGAAAACATAGAACTTTATTACCTCCTTTGAGGAGATGCCATTGATAAGATATATTATACTGATATTTAATGAGCCAAGAGACAAAATTTCTTAACTTTTTTTTACTTTTCTTGAAACATAAAACAAATCTGAATAAAATATAGTGCTTGAAATCATGACAGAATAAAAATATTCTCAAGAATTGTAGTCTTCATCTCAAAATCTTACCACAGCTTCTAAAAGCTAGAGTCAGGTCAGGTATGGAACAGTCTTTAGGTTTTTCCTTCTGCTGTATTCTGTCCTTACTCCAGGTAAGCAATCACTTCCTTATGACTAAACAAAAAGATATTTGTATAAGAGAAAATCCTCTATAGAATTTTATTACAAAATATCTAAACAATTATGTATCACAAATTAATGACCACAAAAATAACTGTTTTTGTTTTCATCAATAATTTTCTAAAGTTTTGTTTATCCCTATTTGTTCCAACATAATCCTTTTCAAACATCACTGTTTGTTTTCTTCTAGAGCAGTGGTTCTCAACCTTTTTAATGCTGTGACCCCAACCAGTCGTAAGTCGAGGACTAAACCAGTCGTAAGTCGAGGACTAAACCGGTCGTAAGTTGAGGACTACCCAATCGGTCGTAAGTCGAGGACTTTCCCTGCCCGGGAGCGCCGCGCATGCGTGGTTCCTCCCCCTGTGCCAGCCGAGGCGTAGCTGGCAAGCGGCAGAGACGGAGCAGGCCGACCACCAGCTGGCCCAGCCCAAGGGAGGTACGGCACCCGCCAGAAAAGGGGAAAAAATGGCGGACAAAAAAAATGGCGGACAAAAAAAATGGCGGACAGCCTTGCTTGGCGACCCCCGTGAAATGGTCGATCGACCCCAAATGGGGTCCCGACCCACAGGTTGAGAACCACTGTTCTAGAGCATCATGGTGAAACTGCACCCACCCCATTGCCGGCATATGGAAAAAAAAGTGGTGATACGTCGCGACACGTCACGTGATGTTGCGAGTTTGACACCCCTGTTCTAGAGAAAGGCCATTATTAAAAAGTTTCATCTTATCTAAGGAGCTGTTCTTTCTTTTGATATCAGTGAAGTTCTGATCAAAACTGACACGAGACCACTTTTAACAAAGCTAGGAGAAAAGACAAATAGGCTATCACTGCTATCTAATAATTCTATTTGGGGCTTATCTCTTAGTGATTACCTATAGGACAGGGGTGTCAAACCCGATCACGTTGCAGGCCATATCGTGACGTATCAGGATTTGTTTTGCCCTTATGGGGCCGGTGTGGGCATGGCCAGACCGGGCCAGATCCGGCCCGCGGGCTGCATGGTTCACCTGTCTGCTATAGGATTTTATATATATAATAAAATTAGGACAAAGAAAATCAAAACTTATATCTCTAATTGCTCTCTGGATAATTGTATTTTGGATTAATAAACTCAGATATGAACAAGTCTTTGGTATGCACATGCAGTTCTCTTAAGTTCTTCATGCAAGCAAACTCATAACACAAAACGTCTTTAAAGCTCTCTAGATGGACATTTAATCCAAAATGGGAAACTATGGGCAACCTCCATCATCTATTTGTATTAGAGATTTTGCCCTGTCTACCTCCTTCATCTGTAGTTCACTGACTTCCTCCAGCCAAATGGAGCAAATTTTGGCAAATGTGCAAGGGTTCATCATTCCCAAGTAAAATTCAATTTCACCCCTTCAGAATAAGCACAGGTATCAAACAAATCTGAAAGTAGTTTCAGGTTTTTGCTTATTTTGAAGTTGTGAGCTAATTGAAGCATAAGGAAAGCTATCAAGGGAATTGCAGGCACGCTAATTTATTTGCAGAAATGTGTGAAGGGAGAATAAAAGATAACAAGTGGAAGGAAATCTCTTTTTTGTATTTCAACTTACTAAGCCATAATTATGACACCAAAGCTTTTCCTCTGAGATTGTTAACTGTATCAACATCTAGAAATGTACCTTGACTGAGTCAAAAGTTCTCTCTTCACTTTGGGGATTATTTTGTAGGTTGTTTTCTGATGAATCTTTATTTTCTGAAGATAATTTCTCGGAGTTTTCAAAATCATTCGTCTCTATGATATGAGCTACTTTATTAAGTTCGCCCTGTTTCTCCTTTATAGCGTTAATACTCATTTCCAGTCGAGCAACCTCTTTTGCAATGTTTTCTTTCAATTTGCTCAGTTCCATAAGCAAAGGGTCTTCCTTTTTTCCTTTCTTCAACAACATCATTACTAAATTGAAGTGTGGAGCAAGATGCAAAAGAAAATCATTTTCATACATGCATTATTAAGGTAATTAAGTTTTAATTTTCTTAGGTCCAAGATGCTGAGTATGTATTAACAGTAATATTGTCTACAGTGATACACGCATATATAATCCACTCTTTAGGATGCAGAAAGTCCTAGGTTTATGATTGTTGCTCAGCAACTGTTCAAAGCTACGATAGCTCCTCAGAGTTGTGGCTGTCACAGCCTTCCCATGGCCACTTGACTGCAATCTGGGTGCTCAGAACCCAGCTCATAATTACAACATCACAACAAGTCACAGCCATGTGACTGTGATTTCCCTCATTCCCTGCCAGCTTCCCACAAGTGAAGCCAATGAGAAAATTGCAATCACATGATGACACACATAGTCCTTGTATAATGATGGCAGCCCAAATTACTGAAATTGCCATTGCTAAGTGTTGCAGTCATCTGACTTTGCATTCTACAACAGTGTTGTTGCAAGAGAGTTCCTGGTCCTAATTGCAATTATAATCTGAAGACTTTCTGTAGTACTATGAGATGTCTTCAGAATGATATAAATATAATTACACACTTTCCAAGAGATTATGTAATATTCAGCACCACTACTGAGTACTTCAGGACAAAAATAAATAAATAAATAAATAAATAAGAGGAAGTGATACCTTGCTGTTCTGAAAGCCTATCTAATTCAATCTTCTGATAAAAAAGTTTATTCTGTTGTGATATTTGTGTACATTCCAACGCTTCTCTTTCCTTTATTATCTGGAAAAAGTGAAAAGGAATAAGCACATTAAAACATGCCATTTAATTGACCAAGGTAAAAGCAACTCTACAAGGATCATTATGGTAAATTTCCAATGTGTCCCTGAATCCACAGTATTTTTACATTATTTTATATATGCCAATTGATATTTAATGCAATTTATTACTCACAAGAGCTTCTTACATAGTATGTTCATTTTTCCTTTAAAATATCTTGTTTTCTTATTTTATTAAATCCACCTGAAAGGATTATTAACTTTGGAAATTTCCCGAAATTCTGTAATACATAACAAGGAAGGAGGAGACAAACAAGCTAACAAAAAGGAAGCATATGTAATTGTACTGGAGTCATTATACTGAGGCACATGTCACAAGCCTGGACTATATTCTTAATTTGCAACTTTTTTATAGGACACAATTTTAGAAACTCAGGACAGTGAAATTTCCTTTGGAAGCTAGAGTCTGAAATCTACCGCTAGATGACAAATCTGTGTTGTTGAATTTGTGTCGCAAATCCTTGACATCAACAAAGGGGCAGGGCAGAGGTTGTACAGAAAGATGATGGGAGGAGCTAGGCATTTGAAGAATTTAACTCTTCTCAGATCAGTAAACATTGACATAAATCTTTGCCATCCTTCAAGTACTTGCAACATTTAGGCTGACTCAGGAGATCTAAATTCATTATTTTACAATGCCAAAAAATATTCCAGACAGAGTAGCAAATACTTCTGCTCACAAATAGGATTATCAGTACACTATAGTGCATTGGCAAAAATATCCTTCCTACTATTTTCTTTTAAATTCAGTAATTCTTTCCCTGTTTCTTCTAATAATATTTCTGTCTCAAATGTCTGTCTTCATTTGCAAATGAACATTCATGCCAAAAAAAGCAGAACAAATTTCAGAGCAAATATACAGATTTTCACTTCAAGCTTATTCATTCAGTTTATTTCACAAGATTGATAGATTTCATGTCCAGAATCCTAAAATGGAACTGAAAGTTAAAAACCTAAGGCTATAATGAGATTTAAACAGACTATACAATATCAAGTGCAAAGATCGGTGAACTCATTAAAATTATTTGAATTGGAAAACAATAGCAACATTCTACATCTATCTATAAATTTTGCATGCCCTTGACTTCTGTTGCCAAAGGCTCCTGCAGAACATTATTTTATTTGGTATATATTAAAAGACTTAATAGACTGCATTTTTCAATTACTTGGAAGAGGAAATCAATGCAGGCAGAAATAAGTGTTAGATCAAATGGTACAGTGAGGGGAAAAATTATTTGATCTCCTGCTGATTTTGTATGTTTGCCCACTGACAAAGAAATGATCAGTCTAGATTCCAGGTTAGACATTGTGGTGTCACAGGCGCAGGAAAACAGGGCTTCGTTTTCCACATCCAATTTCGCTCTGCTAGGTACCCTAAAAAGGGTTTAAAGTCGCCCTGGAGAGGCGACAAAGGACCTTGTTGATCGTGGAGGGGCGGCGGCCCTTCAGTTTGAGCTGAGGAAGCCCTCCAAACTGGCAGAGGAAAGACTGGCCGCATTTATGTGGCCAGTCAGAAGCTACTGACAACCGAAGATAAGCACTAATTAGCAACTTCTGAACAATGTGGATGGAACTGGGTGAATCCTCTCTTTATAATTTTAAACCTCTTCCTGGAAAAAAGAATTCCCAAAGCAAAGAATGCCCCCAGATGATAGAGAGATGGGGAACTTCTGCCCTGTTCCCTCAGGAAAAGTGAAGTGGCGAATAACTTTCCTTGGGGGGGAAAATAGAGAAAACTATAAGATTAATTTGGAATTAATACAGAGACATAGCTTTGACAAATATGGGGACTAAAAGTACTTTTAACTAAGACTTTCCTTTTGAAAAGATATTTGGAAAGTTGGTGAAATAAGTTTGGACTTAAAAGCTGGAAGACGGATATTAATGACATCTAGTGGTGAGCTTTGGTGTTACAATTTATTATGCTTAAAGGAAATTTGGCATGAAGCCCGGACATAGATAAGGTTCTTTGTTGTTCCTGGAAACTTTCACTTTTGCAGACTGCAGCTGGGAAAAGGAGAAAAAAAAATCCTTAGGCTGTTTATCTGTATGAAGGAGACAATAAACCACTCTGAATTGGCCTGCCTGGGTTACAAATACTGACTGACTCTTAGTTTCAAAAATTACCAAGAAATATTAAGAAACAGTGGGAAAGTTGCTTCTGGACTATTTCTCTTTGGAAGAAACATGGATAATCAAACAAGAAAATGTAAATGAACTTCAGAAAGAAATCCTCTCCATGTTGAAATCAATTCAAGAGGCTATTGTTTTAAATCATGAGACAAGACTAGAAATAATTTAAATAACATAAATGAACAACTTTCTAACTTAAACTTACAAGCAGAAAACATTCAGAAAATGACTACAAAGAATGAACAAGCAATTCAGAAACAGAAAAAAATAGAGGAAACTGATACAACAATGGAAGATTTGAAAGAAGAAACCAACAGACAGGTACAGATAAATAAAAATTTGGAAGACTCAGATATAATACCAGAAATGGAAAAGAAAGGGTGTCTTTTATACAGGTAATGAGCTGAGATTAGGAGCACTCTCTTAAAGGGAGTGCTCCTAATCTCAGCTTGTTTTCTGTATAAAAGACACCTGTCCATAGAAGAAATCAATCAATCAGATTCCAAACTCTCCACCATGGCCAAGACCGCACAGCTGTCCAAGGATGTCAGGGACAAGATTGTAGACCTACACAAGGCTGGAATGGGCTACAAGACTATTGCCAAGTAGCTTGGTGAGAAGGTGACAACAGTTGGTGTGATTATTCACAAATGAAAGAAACACAAAGTAACTGTCAATCTCCCTTAGTTTGGGGCTCCATGCAAGATCTCATCTCGTGGAGTTTCAATGATCATGAGAATGGTGAGGAATCAGCCCAGAACTACACGGAAGGATCTTGTCAATGATCTCAAGGCAGCTGGGACTATAGTCACCAAGAAAACAATTGGTAACATACTACCCATGAAAGACTGAAATCCTGTAGCACCCGCATGGTCCCCCTGCTCAAGAGACCATATGTACAGGCCCATCTGAAATTTGCCAATGAACATCTGAATGATTCAGAGGAGAAGTGGATGAAAATGTTGTGGTCAGAAAGTGTTGTGGTCAAAATCAAGCTCTTTGGCATTAACTCAACTTGCGGTGTTAGAAGAAGGAGGAATGCTGCCCGTGACCCCAAGAACACCATCCCCACTGTCAAACATGGAGGTGGAAATATTATGCTTTGGGGGTGTTTCTCTGCTAAGGGGACAACTTCACCACATCAAAGGGACAATGGACGGGGACATGTACCGTCAAATCTTGGGTAAGAACCTCCTTCCCTCAGCCAGGGCATTGAAAATGGGTTGTGGATGGGTATTCCAACATGACAATGACCCAAAACACATGGCCAAGGCAACAAAGGAGTGGCTCAAGAAGAAGCACATTAAGGTCCTGGAGTGGCCTAGCCAGTCTTCAGACCTTAATCCCATAGAAAATCTGTGGATGGAGCTGAAGGTTCAAACTCCCAAACATCAGCCTTGAAACATTAATGACTTGGAGAGGATCTGCAAAGAAGAGTGGGACAAAATCCCTCCTGAGATGTGTGCAAATCTGGTGGCCAACTACAAGAAACATCTGATCTCTGTGATTGCTAACAAGGGTTTTGCCACCAAGTACTAAGTTATGTTTTGCGAAGGGGTCAAATACTTACTTCACTCATTAAAATGCAAATCAATTTATAACTTTTTTGAAATGCATTTTTCTGGATTTTTTTTTTATTATTCTGTCTCTCACTGTTAAAACAAACCTACCATTAAAATTATAGACTGATCATTTCTTTGTCAGTGGACAAACATACAGAATCAGCAGGGGATCAAATAATTTTTTTCACTCACTGTTGGTGGAAATAAACTGTTCATCCATTAAGTTGCAGTATCACCAAACCTTAAAGAGTTATAATAGTCACATCTCTGTCAAGCTTACTACTGAGCAGACACTGATGTAGAAAATTTCGTATGTCATTTTATTTTTGTACACATTTATTTTTATTATTAGCATTTAATGGTTGTTAGTTTCTTCTTCATTTCTTCATTTTGTATTTTAACTTTGGAAATAAAATTTAAAAAAATGTAAAGAGCTGTCATTGGACCTAAATGTCCTGGGCAACTTTTATCCAGTCTCCAGCATCGCCTTTCTGGTAAAAATTATTGAGAAGAGGCCAGCTGCAGTTCCAGAGCCATGAAAGAAATGGATTGTCTGGTCCCATGTTAGTTGGGTTTCCAGCCTACATTCAGTATGGAGACGGCATTGATCATGCCTGTTGATGATCTCTGGTGATGCCGGGATGCAGGTAGTTGCAACCAACCTGGCCCTTCTTTATTTCTCAGCAATTTTTGATATGATTGATTTTCATATCCTTGTGGACCAATTGAGGAGAATATAACTGGAGAACTCTCTCCTCAGCCAGTTCAAGGCAGTATTTCAGGGGGAGAGTAAACTCAAATTCAAATCTTCTGATTTGTGAAGTGTCACAAGTTTGATGCTCTTGCTCCTCCTGCTTAATATGAAGTTGCATAAGGGAGAGGTCATCAATCAGTTGACCTCAGTTCAGTGTTAGGTATCATGACTATATGGATGTCACTCAACTGTGAATCTCAATCCATGAATAAAAAAGCAATGTTGTCAAGGTTTCCTCCCAATGCTTGGAAGCAGCTGGAGTCTGGATTGGGAGAAACAGGTTTAAGTTCAATTCTACCAGGTCAAATGGCTTGGACCATCTGGGTCTGGAGGTTCCCAAACTTAGTCCTAAATGGGGGGGGGCACTAGGAGAAGGAGAAGTCTTCCTAGATTCTCAACTCCTTCTCAAAGATCCAGGTAGCTAGGGCTTTACACAAATCCAACATGTATGCCAACTGCACTCATCTCTGGACCAAGCCCTCTTTACAGTCACTTATATATTGGAGATCTTTACAGTCAGTTATATCCTGGAGAAGAACTATGGCAGCATAGTTTTCATGAGGCTGCCCTTGAAGACCACTTGAAAGCTACAGCTGGTTCAGAATGTAGCAGCATAAGCTGCAATAGGCAGGTCTAACAACATCCATGTAATACCTCTGCCTCATGAGCTGTATTAGTTACTAATATGCTTCTGACTCCAATTCAAAGTGCTGTTTATTATCTACGAAGTCCTATTCAGCATAGCACCTAGCTGTCTGAAGGACTAATTTTTGTAATAGCAATTAGGGTCAATTTCCTTAGGGTTCCATTGAGGAAGTAGTATCACTTAGCAGAAACAAGAAAGCAGGACTTCTTTGTTGTAGCACCTGCCCTCTGGAACAGCATCTGCTTGGAGATTCATTCACAGCTACTCTATCTCTCTTCAAAAGAGCTCTAAAATTCAGTTCTTCCCCCAGGTCTTTGTTTAGCATAGTTGGCTGACCACTCCACTTTTGGGGTAATGGAAAGTAGGTTTTTGTTTCCCCAGGACTATTGCGTGGGGTTTTTTTTTGTAGGTCTTGTTGCGTTTTTCTTGCTTTTTAGTATTATGAAGCTGACCAGAGTCATTTTTGGAGTTAGGCAGTTTAGGAATTGTATATATGAAATTAAAATAAACTATGTAGATACAGACATTTATGTATCTATCCATCTACCTTAGAATTTTGCGGAGGACTGCTTATATATTGTAAGTATACATTTCTATGCTGAAAAGGAAAAGTTAAAGCTCATTAACCAGAAAAAAATAAACAGTGTTTTTATGTTTTTAAATTATAAATCAGAGGTCCCCAACCTTTTGGGCACCAGGGGCCAGTTCCATTGAGAGGTTTTTCTGTGGACCAGAGAGGGTGTGGTTTTGTGTGCTGCCTGCATCCTGCAGATGGGACTTTGCTTGTTTGTGTGGATCAGTTGCTGGCATGCTACAGACCAGTACTGGTCCACGGACCGGGGGTTGGGGACCCCTGGTATAAATGATAAACAGAGACCTGCATTGGTTAAGTATTTGGACCAGTTCATTTCTAAAGTCCATTCTAAATCTTAATTTCTAGGATTCTATGGTAATTATGAAATCAAGAAGAAAAGATACTCACCATTTGCATCAGAGGAGTTTGATTTTTTTCATCACATTTTCTTCGCTTGGCCCTTTTTTTACACCTGGTTCGCCGGGGAACCATGGTAGAAGCTGCTTGAGATGGATTTTTGGTGATGGCAGTTGTATTAATAATTCTGAGGTTGGGATTTGTACATTTACCTTTTAGTTTGGCAAGGTTGGCAACCTGAGGTTTATTTGGACATACAGAGTTCACTTGCTGAGCACACCAGCCAGAAGTTGCATAACCCATGTGGCGCTGGTATACATCATAGTTAGGTAAGACTACTGGGAGAGAAGCACAGTTTGGAAAGAACCGATTTGGAGTAAACGTAGAGACATATGGAACATTCTGACAGGAAGCAGAGGTGGGCCCAGGAGGAATATCAAGAAAAGAAGGTGGAGCTGATGGGATTAAACATCCTGGAACACCAGATTGCTCACATGTGCCAGTAGGATTATTTTGCCCTAATTTAGTGATGTTATTAGCTTTAGCTGATGGAAAAGAATCAAATGGTGATAGAGAATGTTTCTGCCTCTTCCACAACTCTGCTTTATGATTTGCCACTGAATGATGATCTGGAGAGTAAGTTGTTTTTTTTCCATAGAGTCTTTCTTCCGTGCGAGCAGCAAGCTTACCTACTTCAGCCACTCCAATGTCCAAACCAATAGTTTTAAGCAAGTCACGGATCTTGTCATATTCCGGGCTGGACTGTTCCAAAATCTCTGGTTTTACAGATAGACTTGCAGGAGGTGGAGAATTTACTTTCTCAGTTACAGGTTCTTTCTTTTCACTCAGCATTAGCTTTTGAGAGGGGAGAGAGTTATTTGAATCACCATCATCATCACCATAAAGAAATTTCTCTTCATCTTCTATATTATCAGGGAAAGGATCCAGTCTTTTATCTGGAGTATAAGTAGAATCAATCACTGTACCTACAGTACTCGAAAAACCACTCCCATCTTGACTGGCTCTTTCATGAGGCAGCAGGAAGTCACCATGTTGGTTGACAGACTCTAATGTTGACTCAGGAGGCTCCTTTTCCTTTGAAAAATTCCCAGAGTCCTGTTCAAAAGGAAAAAACATTTTTGTGGGTAGAATATTTTGCAATGAGATATCTTTTGTGGGTAGAATATTTTGCAATGAGAGCCTACAGACAAGTTATTGTTGAACTGAAGAAATTCTGAAGAAGAAAAACTGATGAAAAGAAGCAATTATGTTAAACTGGTACAAATAAAAAGTATCTGAAAGAAAGGAGTTCATTGATAGATAAGAATCCAGACTTTAAAAAAGATATTGTGATGTTTATAAAATTAATCAACATTTCAATCCATGAAACAGATCATTCTTTTATATAAACAGATTACAGCTAATATATTGGAAAACTGTAAGAGAATAAAAATGAAACTGAGGTAGAGACATGAGTTCTAAAATATCATTTAATTTGACACATTGTGGGTATTTCATTAGGGCTGAGGCAGGATGCAAAGGTGCTACAAAAGTTATCAGAGGAAGACAAATAACATGCTTCCCTTGCTAAGCAGGCCACACTGATACAAGATGATCTCACTATATTGTACCAATCAGCAATAAAATTGCCAGTATAGTAACACAGTATAAGCTGCATATACCGTGTCACTACCCAGCCTTGTTCAGTGTTATCCTTTCAGTGAAATGACTTTGTTCTCCCTCCATGACATGCTCATAAAGTCCAGTTTTAATTTGCTATGCAGCATCAACATAATCATGCCATGATCCTTGATTACTTTGAATCATTCAGCAAGGGTGAAGGAGAAGGAAAAACAGCATGTCAAATGAGCAGCAGAGGAAGCACAAAATGGGTCTGAACAATAACAGAATTTGAAAGGTACTTTTCTGAAGGGAGCATCTCACAAACCCAAAAAAGTAGCCAAATGCTCCTAAGTCAATGGGCAACATTATTTATGACAGCTGCATGATGCAAATTCACAGAAGCATAGTGCTTCTTCTTTCAGAAATGAACAGTTATTTATCTCTGTTTTGAAATTATGTTAGGAAAGTCAGGTGACTTGATAAATCAGTTTCAAATAGTTTTTAAAAGATTTCTTCAATTTCAAACACTGAAAAACAAGTTTTCTAAAAACAATTTAGGAAACCTCCAATTTAACGCGCCTAATGGTAAAAAAATTCATGAAAATCTTCAGCAAGCACCCTTCCATTTCCCCCATAATCTCACCTTTCAGAACAGACTCCTTCTCCCTGCATGACAAGCCATCCCAGACTCCTTGCAGAGCAAAATAAGGAGCAATTGCTCCTTACTTCATCTTGCATGAGGAAAAGTATTACTGATGAAGCTTCAAAGTTGGAAAACAGAAATCCCCACGAGTGACCTAAAATACTATATCAAATGCAGCTTCTTCATGTTATCCTCAAACAGATGTTAAAATACTTGCTTAAGGACAACACAGCTTAACAGAAAATTACTGGTTTCAAATTTAAAACAAATAAAGTGAAACTTTCTGATCCAAATGAGGCCCAAGATGCTGTCATACTAAATCAACTCCATGACCGGGAAGAAAGAGTATGACATTATTCAAAGCATTTATTCTACAGATCTTCATAAAAAAGTTAAATATTTATATTTAAAATAGGGAAAAAAACTAGTAAAACATGACAGATTAACAAAGAGAGTGAAGAATTCAGTTCAAACCTGTGTAGAAGAATCATCTGAACGTTTCTTCAGTATAGATTTTAAGGGGACTGCAGGTGTTTTTTCAGATCTATAATGGTGTCGAGATTTAGAAGACTGTTCTTGATTAGCTGAATCAGGAATTGGGTAGTCAGTTCTAATGTTTCTCCTTTGCAAATCTTCTTCTCTTTTTCTCCTAATTCTTTCAAGTTTATGAAAATCTTCATCCACGTCCATCAGGTTTAGGCTTCTGTTAGGGCTTTGTTTACGATACTTCTCTGTTTCTGCCAATAAAGCCTGAGATTTTATGCTTTCATCAAAGAGTCTATCTTTTCTGTCGTATTGAAAGTATTTTGAATCTTGCTCCCCACCCCTATAATTTTCTCTTGATTGATCCTGTAGAAGTTCACTGTTTATGCTTCGGTCCAGTTGAGCTCCAAAAATATCCCTATTGTAATAGTCCTTATCATGTCCCATGCTGAACAGTCTTGAAGAATTCTCCTCATGAAAGAAACCTCTCTCAAGATTCCAAGGATGTGAAAGGGCTCTGCTAAATATTGGACCATCAGACGAGTTATCCCTGATGAGAGAGGCACATAAATTACAACATCAACATCATATATATCTTGGAACTCAAGTTAGCATAGTTGCCTGACTTTGAATAGCCAATACCGGTTTACACTGACCCCAATATGGCTAGTTCTGCGTCTTTCATCAACAGCTTCACCTTCCATCTCAAACTATATTGTTCTTCCAGAAATGACATTTTTGAAATGTGTTATTTGTGAGCATAGGGGACATGAAACAAAAACAGGCAAGAGTGCACCGTTACAGAAATGGAAATGTGCTCCAGCTCCAGATGTCAACAAAATATGTATAATTTATCCTGTACTAAATCATTTTCAAATGACAAAGTCGGTCTTAACTATGCATATAAACCATACAGTTTTTATTTTTTTAAATAAAGTTTGCGTTAAATTTTTAATAATGACAGTTTTCATGTATTTATTGTTTTAATTTATCATTGTAAACTGCACACGGTATTTTTTTTGTGAGACAGCAGCTATAAAATTTTATTAAATGTACATTTTAAAAACAAAAATGGACATGATTCAACTTCCCTGGCTTCAACAGTGCTATTAGTATTACCTTATGTTACAGAAAGAAAAACAGAAACTTAAAATACATTCTATAACAGGACAGAGTATAACAAACTGTGCGTATAACATCTGTAAATTTTTTGATGAACCATCTTTCAATCGTCAACGATGTATTTACATATCTTTCAGTTGTGTCCTAATATAGGTACTAATAAGAGGTCCTTATGATATCAACTAGTCAATCGATAATCATCTCAGTGATCCTCCTTATCTCTAACCCAGTGGTTCTCAACCTTTTTAATGCCGCGACCCCAACCGGTCGTAAGTCGAGGACTAAACCAGTCGTAAGTCGAGGACTAAACCGGTCGTAAGTCGAGGACTTTCCCTGCCCGGGAGTGCCGCGCATACGTGGTTCCGCCCCCTGCGCCGGCCAAGGCGTAGCTGGCAAGCGGCAGAGACGGAGCAGGCCAACCACCAGCTGGCCCAGTCCAAGGGAGGTAAGGCATCCGCCAGAAAAGGGGAAAAAATGGCGGACAAAAAAAATGGCGGGCAGCCTTGCTTGGCAACCCCCGTGAAATGGCCGATTGACCCCAAATGGGGTCCCGACCCACAGGTTGAGAACCACTGCTCTAACCAATCATACAAATTTTTCCAAATTTCATAATACTCTTGTTTCAGTTTTATTTTTAACTAGCTGTACCCAGCTACGCATTGCTGTGGCTCAGTCTGGTAAAAGCGTGTGTTGCTTTTAGGTCCAACAAATGGCGCTGTTTTTCAAAAAAAGCATGTTTTTACCTGTCACAGGTGTGACATCTATATAATATAGGTATATAAAAACACACGCATATTCGAATGCAACATTGTATCAAAATTTCAAAGCAATCGGTGAAGAACTTTCAGAGATTTAAGATTTTGAACAAACGAACATTTACATTTTTATTTATATAAGATCTCTAGAGTTAACCTGTCCATTTTGGCGCAGGATAAAATTTTATTTATTATTTCTTCCTCAGTGGGGGTTTCCTTTCCTTTCCATTTTTGGGCGTATGCCAATCTTGCTGCGGTTAAAATATGCAATAGTAAGTAAAAAGATGCTTTGGTGAGTTTATCATTAATAATCCCTAAGATGATTTCTGGTTTTAAATCAATTTTTTATAATAGTATTTCTTCCAGCCAATTTTTTATCCGATTCCCCCCAAAAATGCGCCTTTGAACATTCCCACTACATGTGATAGTAAGTCCCTGGAAGCCTTCTACATTTCCAGCATGTTGGTGAGGGTTTTTTTATCTATTTTTGCTAGCCTTGTAGGGGGAAGGTACCATCTATAAAATATCTTGTATAAATTTTCTTTGTAGGAGGTGGCTAATGTTAACTTCCTGTTTCTGTCCCATAATGATTGCCAATTATCTAGGTCAATAGTGTAACCAAAATTTTTACTTCAGATTAACATTGTTTCTTTTACCTGTTCTTCTAACAAATCTTGTTCTAATAAATATTGATATATCTTTTTTATCATTTGATCTTCTATTCCTAGAAGAATTTTATCTAATTGTGTATGCTCTAATCTTATCCCTGGTTCTTTGTCTTTTCTGTATCGCGACTGTATTTGTAAGTATGCCCACCATTCCAGCTCTATACCACCTTCTGATAATCTTTTCCTTGTTTTCAGGTCCCCATTGTCGTCTAAGATATCTTTGTATGTAATTACTCTTCCTAAATTTATGAATTTGGGGTGCATGAATATCTCTAATATGGATAGCCAATTAGGAATTTTTATATAATTATTTTTTTAAATTTTTATCCACATGTCTAATAGTGCCCGTCTAATATGGTGATTCTGGAAGTACTGATGAGCCTTATATTTCCCGTCCCACATTATAGCATGCCACCCTATTTGCATGTCATGGCCTTCTAATTCCAGTAGTCTTCTGTTTCTTAAGTGTATCCAATCCTTTATCCATACCGATATTGCTGCCTGATAATATTTTTCCCAATTCGGGAGGCCGAGCCCTCCTCTCTCCTTTGCATCCTGTAATAATTTTAATTTAATTCTCGGTTTTCTACCTTGCCAGATAGTTTAATTGGTACACATTGAAATAAAAAGAGTAATTTGGGAAGTATATTCATCTTGATTGTCGCTATTCTCCCCATAAAGGAGAGCTGCAAGTTTTTCCATCTGTCTAAGTCTGCTATAATATGATCTATTAATTTGTCATAAGTTTCTCTTTTGAGTGTAGTACATCTTGTCGACAGTTGGATCCCTAAGTACCTTATTCTTTTAGATGTCTGGATATTAATTTTTTCTACTAGCTCTGTTTCTTGTAAATTGGACATGTTTTTAACTAACATTTGTTTTTTCTTTATTAATTTTCAACCCTGCGACATCTCCATAATTTTCCAGCACCTGTAATAATCTTGTTCCAGATTCTAAGGGGTCTTCCAAAATGAAAACTAAATCATCTGCATAAGCCTGTAATTTAAATGTCTCTTTTCTGATTTCTAATCCTTTAATCAGCCTATCTTTTTGGATTATTCTTGTAAGTACTTCTAAAGAAAGAATAAATAATAAAGGAGATAGTGGACAACCTTGTCTCATGCCTTTTTGTATTTGAACACTATTTGTTAATTCTCCGTTTATGATTACTTTGGCTTCTTGTTTAGAGTAGATTGCTTTAAACGTGTTTATAAAATTTTCCCCGAATTCCATCTGTTTAAGTTGAATCGACATAAAATTCCATTTAACATTATCAAACGCTTTCTGAGCATCAACAAAAATCAATGCCATTTGTTTTTTGCTATGTAATTCATAATATTCTAAGATGTCTAATATGATCCTAACATTATGTCTGATTTGTCTTTTAGGCAAGAAGCCGTTTTGGTTGGTATGGATAAATTCAACTAAATATTTTTTTAATCTTTCTGCCATTATAGTCATGAAAATCTTATAATCCGTGTTCAGTAAAGAGATGGGCCTATAGTTTTTAATACAGGTCAAATCAGAATTTTCTTTAGGAATTAGTGAGATGATTGCTTCTTTCCATGAGTTTGGGGTTTTTGTTATATTTAGTACATCATTAAATAAGTCCAGTAGAGTTGGGGCCAAAAGTTCTTGGAGGTTTTTATATATTTATTACTTTTTTGCTTTTTAATTGCTTCTGTAATTTCCTGGACTGTTATATCTTTATTTAATATATTTTGAAATTCTTCCGGGACCTTCGGTAGGTCCGCTTTCATAAGATATTGTGATATTCTTTCCTCCATAACCTTTTCATCCTCTTTATAAAGATTTTTATAGAATTCATACATCACCCTTTTTTTCTCTTCATTTTGATGTACCATCTCCCCTGCTTGGTTACATAATTTACTAATCCATCTTTTAGACTGATAAATAGTTTTGTGTGACGTGTACACACAATCTCAATAACATGTCTATAACAAATTTGGACAATAAAGCATTTTAGTCCATTTTTAAAGTAAAGGCAATATTCTAACACTTTAATCAATTAACAGCAACAACAGTACTTATCCTATACATCTTTAAAATGTTTCTATTTTCCTATATTAAATCAATGGAGAAACATGTGCAATTTGCTACTAAAAATAACATCACAAACATTTTTCTAATAAGGCCTGATGAAGATGAATACTTGTTTATTCTACTGAATCTTTAAAAAATATATAATCTCATTAAGAAATTAGGGGAAGACCAGAGATTCTGCTGCTGCTACAGCTGAAAAAAGCCCAGCTTGTGCTTATTGGTTGCCCTGGCCATACTTGCTATATCCACTTGTTCATTTTTTTTTAACTAATTTCTGTGGTATTTCGATACAGTTAACTTTTGACAGCAGTAGGCAATATAGTGAGGGGAAAAATTATTTGATCCTCTGCTAATTTTGTATGTTGGCCCACTGACAAAGAAATGATCAATCTATAATTTTAATGGTAGGTTTATTTTAACAACGAGAGACAGAATAACAACAAAAAAAATCCAGAGAAATTCATTTCAAAAAAGTTATAAATTGACTTGCATTTTAATGAGTGAAATAAGTATTTGACCCCTTCGCAAAACATGACTTAGTACTTGGTGACAAAACCCTTGTTGGCGATCACAGAGGTCAGACGTTTCTTGTAGTTGGCCACCACATTTGCACACATCTCAAAAGGGATTTTGTCCCACTCCTCTTTGCAGATCCTCTCCAAGTCATTAAGGTTTCGAGGCTGATGTTTGGCAGCTCAAACATTCAGCTTCCTTCACAGATTTTCTATGGGATTAAGGTCTGAAGACTGACTAGGCCACTCCAGGACCTTAATGTGCTTCTTCTTGAGCCACTCCTTTGTTGCCTTGGCCATGTGTTTTGGGTCATTGTCATGTTGGAATACCCATCCATGACCCTTTTCAATGCCCTGGCTGAGGGAAGGAGGTTCTCACCCAAGATTTGATAGTACATGGCCCTGTCCGTTGTCCCTTTGATGTGGTGAAGTTGTCCTGTCCCCTTAACAGAGAAACACCCCCAAAGCATAATGTTTCTACCTCCATGTTTCATGGTGGGGATGGTGTTTTTGGGGTCACAGGCAGCATTCCTCCTCCTCCTAACACAGCGAGTTGAATTGATATCAAAGAGCTCGATTTTGGTCTCATCTAACCACAACACTTTCACCTACTTCTCCTCTGAATCATTCAGATGTTCATTAGCTAACTTCAGATGGGCCTGTACATATGCTCTCTTGAGCACAGGGACCATGCGGGTGCTACAGGATTTCAGTCTTTCATGGCGTAGTGTGTTACCAATTGTTTTCTTGGTGACTATGGTCCCAGCTACCTTGAGATCATTGACAAGATCCTCCTGTGTAGTTCTGGGCTGATTCCTCACCGCTCTCATCATCACTGAAACTCCACGAGATGAGATCTTGTATGGAGCCCCAAAATAAGGGAGATTGACAGTTATTTTGTGTTTCTTCCATTTGCAAATAATCGCACCAACTGTCTTGGCTACAGTTGAGAGTTTGGAATCTGATTGCTTCTATGGACAGACAGCATGCAAAATCACGCCCCCTCAGATCCATGAAAAAAATCTCTCTCCACAGAACCGGTCCCTGGTACTCAAAAATTGGGGGGCCACTGCAGTAGGATAGAGGTAATCCTCAAGTTATGACCACTCTTTCAGGGTCTATTTAAGATTACAACACTGAAGAAGGACAATATATGACCTGTCCACAAAGTTGTGGTAATCGCAACATCACATTATAGCAATCTGGGTACTTGGGTGCCCACCTCATTATTAAGATATTGCAGCAAGCTGCAACCATATGATCACCATTTGTGATCTTCCCTTCTGGAACCAAAGTCAATGGGGAAGTTGGCAGGGATGGTTGCAAGTTGCTCACATATGTTGTTCCTGCTGCTTTTTCTCCCAAGGACCCCTACACGGGAATTTCAGGGATCTTCTACTTTGCAGCAACCTCACAAACATTTTTTTGCCAAATGCAACCCTTCCTGGACTGGGAGGTCTTGTCACATTGATTAATCCTGTCATTTCCTGGTTGGATTATTGCAACACATTCTACATGGGGCTGCCCTTGAAGACTAACTGAAAATTACGATTGATTCAAAATGTGACAGCATGCATCATTCTGACTGCCCCACAGTTTGCCCTCTTTGCACTGCTGATAGAATGTAATCAGCTATAAAATAATCTTGAGGAATAGGAGGAAGAGCCACAACCAAGATATTGATCAGGGGGGAAAAAGTTTTAGTCTGAGGCTGAAATGTAATTTGAAAAGGATCTCAGGCTTGACCCTCCCTAGTTCTCTCCAAGATAAAGGAAGGGAAGGAGGAAGTGCATTCAGACCAGTTCTGTACCATAACCTTATAATTAAGGCAGGATTAGCGTACACAACCTTGGTTCCTAGTCTGGTCCTCGTTGAAGGACTGACAGTGAGCTGGAATGGTTTCCAGTTTCTTCCTGTTGCAATTCAAAGTGCTGGTTATTACTTTTAAAACTTTAAATGGCGTAGGACCAGGCTTCTTACAGGACTGCTTCTCCCTGAAGATTTGGCCATTCCACTAGATCAGATACAGTGGGAGCACTCCATGTTGTTTCTTTTAAACGTTGTCATCTAACAGGAACAAGGAACTGCACTTTCTCTATAGTTGGCCCTGCCCAGTGTAACACCCTTTTCCCAGAAATCCAGCAGGCCCCCACACTCCTTCCCTTCTAGAAGGTCTTAAAATATTGAGGCAAGGCAAGGCCGGAGCTGGTGAGATGGTAAGTGTATATATGGGTATGGCTAGGGGTGCCATAAGCTGCTATAGAATTTTTATAGATTTTTATTCTGATTCTTTGGGGTGGGAGGTTAATTGTTTAGTTTTGTGTGCCACGCCATCCAGGGTTGTTGATTAATTTGGCTCTAGATATTCAAACCACCTGTATACCTTCTAGCGCTTAAATTATTTGAGCATCAGCCAATCAATAAAATCAATTCTAGTTTTAATCCTTTTTCATTAACAAAACCAGATTGTTACTATAGACATAACTATAAAGAATCAACACTTTAAGCATCCTAGTTACAACTGCAGTATTCTGAAAATATACTGAAACATGCACAAAAGTAAAGCGTTAGTAAGCAGTAGAAAATCTCAGAGGTTGCAAAATTCAATTTTTTTTTCAGAAAACTGGAACAACTCAATGAAGATTGAGTGTGGCCAGAGAATATAAAACATTGAGTGATTGAAGAAAGACATGGAAAAATTGGCAAATAGTGTGAGAATGGACTGTGATATCCTAATTCATGCTAGCCATCAGAAAGATTCCACTTCACATTCTGCTTTAGGTTTCACTTTTTAAAAAAAATCAGAAATAGATTCCCTCAAGAAGCAATTATAATTTAATTTCCCATAAAGATGTACTACTATTTTTACTCACTCACTTATGTGGGTTCTTACCCAATATGGTGGGACTGGAATAGCTTATTTGGGGTATTCAAAATAATCCAGAGCTCAGCACATATTCATCCAGAGCACACCTGATTATATCATATGCCTCATGCAAAAAAGTGAATAAATTATATGGTTGGAAACTATTTACATACAAAAACTTAACAAAGCTTCATATAATCAAAAAGCACTTACTTTTGCTTCACTCTCAAAGACTTATTGAAGAATTAAATGACATACAGTATTAGCTGCTCCTAAATTAGTTCTTACTTTTAAGAAATGTAGATAAATATATTTGCTTTTATTATTTCAATGTCTCCTATCAAAGAGTTAAACTTAACAAGAGATACAAACTTTTAAGTCATGAAAATACACTCTTATGTGGTTATCATAAAACTGAAAACAGATTTACTACAAGCATTTTTAATAACAGGAGAGAATACATTATAATTATAAGTAAACTGCATACTTTGTAATCAAAATTCACCAACTTTGCCACTAATTACAAGAAATAAGATAAAGGTTTATAAGATTTTATAAAGAAATCGGGGATTGCAAAGAAAAATATACTTTGAAATTGAACAGTATGCCTATTTTTATCCTGGTTTGTACCCTGTAAACTTAAAGGTTGCTTTTAACGTATCTTCTAGACTTTGCTTCTTAAAATATACACTGAAATACACTACAGATTTATGTAGAAATGAACAAAAACTGACATACTAAAAGTAGAGCTAGAACTACCTGAAACAAGGTAAGTCACAGTACATAAATCAAGCTGTCAAATTAGAAAATTTTGCCACATTAGGTTCTGATTTAATATTCAGCATTACTGCTGCAACTATTAAGAGATTTGAATATAACTGACAGTCCCAACCATTTAAGGATTCTTATCTTAACCCTCCTGCATTTGAATTTTTAGACATTACTTGGAATCTTTCATATATTATTCCACTTACAATTGTTGCTAACAAAATCTAATCTAATTGTACTATACATTTTTAGATCAAAAGCCATTCTATGCATTTGAGGATAACAATCTTTTAAATCAGGCATGTCAAACTTGCGATGTCACGTGACATCGTGCAACAAATCAGGACATTTTCCCCATTGTCGGCAATGGGGGGGGGTGCAGTTTTGGCGTGATGCATCTGTTTGATATGCCTGTTTTAAATGATTTTTCCCTTTCCCCTTTAATGACATAATTCTTTATTTTTACAGTTTTATTGTATTTTTAAGTTACAGTGTTTTATTGTATTTTTTAAATTACTGTGGGTTGCAACAGATTAAGTGGCCTATAAATCTCATAAACAAACAAATATGAATGTGTCCTAAGATGAGGGATGCCTAATGTAATCCATCTAATATATTTTCCAAACTGTCTCATAACATGACATTATTTTATTGGATACTATAGGATATGAACAAAAAAAAAATCACAATTTTTGAGACTAGCTTTCAAAGAACCATACCTGTTCACATTGCTCAGATTATCAGCTGATGAGCTTGTGCCATTTTCAATTAAGGCCCGCAAGTATTTTTCCACTGAAGATCCCGAACGTTGGCGTGGAGAACGTGAGCGCTGCCTTGGAGAATATGAGGGCTGATCCAGTGAATATGTCTGCAATGGGGGAAGGGACAAGGAACAGTTACAATATGCTATCTATTTGGTAAAACAGGCTTCAGTATCTTCCACTGTTACAAAATACCTTAAAACTGGATATATTATGTAAAAATTAAGAGAAAAACAAGAAAATTGATTCATTTAGAAGGGCTAAAAATTTCTACTTAAAATTTGTAGCTCATGGTGTGGAATGATTGTTTTCACAATTTCTTTTACATTCTTCCACAATTTATTTTAAGTTATAGAAATTGGCACAAAAATAACATGTAAGGCAGGGGTGTCAAACTACCGGCCCATGGGCCGGATGCATCACATGGAAGCCGCGCCCACCCCATTGCCGGCAATGGCAAAACTGGCCCGATACGTTGTGCGACGTCACGTGACATCGCGAGTTTGACATGCCTGATGTAAGGATAAAGACATCTTAAAACTGAGTTAAGGAGGTAGTCTACTTCCTGCTCAAGAAGTCATTGCTGCATCCAACAGAGTTGGAGAAGTTTTATCCCATCTCCAATCTTTCCTTTTTAGGGAACACCTGCAGTTGCTGATAGCTTGTAGTAAGTGTATGACAGGATGAATCCTGAAACTCCTTGATCTGTCAGTGGTTTTTTGTAGCATGACACAGGAATCCTTCTGCACCAACTCAGGGGGTTGGGAGTGGCAGACACAGCATTGCTGGAGTTTCTTCCTTCCTCAGGGGGCAGTTTACTCCTCCATTCAGAACATGTGTGCAAATTTGGGATCCTTCTGGCCTCATAGCTCCTGCTCAAATCTCAACTATGGCCAAGAAAATCTTTATACAACTCCATCTGGTGTGCCAAATTAACCCATACCTGAAACAATAGCCCCTGCTTACAATCACTCATGCCTCAGTCACCTCCCATTCAGATTACTGCAACACAGTATACATAAAATCTGCAACTGACCCAGAATGCCACAGGAATGATTATGGGTGCATTGTGGTATGCACACGTAACATCACTATTTCGCAAATTACACTGGCTCCCCATAGGCTTCCGGACACAATCCAAAATGTTAGTTGTCACCTACAATGCCCTACATGGCACAGGATCATATTATTTGCAAGATTGTTTTTGCCCAATTCACCTACTCTCATAGGCACATTCCCAATTTTGTCTTCAAGACAATGTCGCTTGATGGGATCTTAAGAGGCATACTTTTTGTTCTGTAGTGTCTGCCCTTTGGAACAAGCTTCCTCCCAATGTTCAGATGGCTCTGATCTTGTCAGACTTCAACTAAGTTTTAAAAACTTGGAATTTCTCTAACGCATTGGACCAGAATGATAGATGAGCTTATCTTTTGGGAATGGAATGATTGAGATTCCCAACTTTATATTGCATGGTGTTTCTAATATTGTTTTGGAGTTTTGCTGTCTCAGTCCTGGTGCATAAGGAGGAAGAATGGTTTTTTTTATCTTTTACATTAATATAGTGACTCTGTTATGAAGTACTGAGATAGTGATCAGTCCCCAATTCTTCCTGGAAGAAAATGGTTTATTGGGGAACACAGATTTCTCACTCTGATGTAACAGATGAAAAGAATACCAATCATAGGGATGGCGCAATGGCTCAGCCGTTAAGATGCTGGGCTTGTCGGCTGGAAAAACAGCCCAGGTTCGAGACTTGAGCATTGTGTGACAGGCTGTGCTCCTGTCTTTGCCTAGCTCCTGCCCACCTAGCAGTTTGAACGCATACAAATATGAGTAAATAGGTACCACTTTGATGGGGAGGAAACAGTGCTCCACAACATCATGCTGGCCACCTGACCAGAGAAATATCTTTGGACTGCACTGTCTCAATGGCCCTTGAAACACAGTCGCCCCCTAGAGTTGGTTACGACCAGCAGAGTAAATCTGCAGGGATTCTTTTCCTTTTCTTTCTACACCCTTTCCTTTAATGTACTTTAATATTATAAAGATTGGCGACTAGGGATTTTTACTGAGTCTTTAGTTATATGTGCCTACGGCCCCCACTTTGACACTCTTTCGCAAGGCCCTGAAGACCTGGTTTTGCTAACAGGCCTGGGCAACTCAGAGTGGGATAGAGTCCATCAAGTGGTTTGTCTGATTGATTGTTGACACCAGGAGGTTGGCAGGGGGTAGGGTATATAGTTTTTTATTTTTTGTAAGCCACCAAGAGTCACTGCAAGTGAATGGGTGGCCATATAAATTCTCTAAATAAAAAATATTAACACAATTACTATAGTATGCCAACATATATTTAAAATACCTTTTAAATTGTATAATCAAAAGACAATTGTGCAATCTAGTGGTTAGATTGCTTAGATCAGCTGTATTTCCTTCACTTAAGGCAGGGGTACACAATCCAAGACCTAAAACAGCTGGTGTCTCCAGAAGACCTAAGTGGGGGCATTAGTATTTGTCATACAATTTTCATCAAATTGTAATGTTTAACAGAAAGGGAAAATTTAAAATGTATAGATGTAACTGAATGTAAACTAAGTGTCCTAATTAAACATTAATCCAACTTATATTCATAAATTGCTATTCTGTTGATGTATGATACAGCAACTGTGTCTTTTATCATCTGACAGAGCTAACATATCTTTGTTCCTTTCCTATACTAAGAATCTTATTGACAAACAATGATAGAATAATTATTCTATTTTCAAAATATCTTTCGTTTCCAAGATGGAAAAAATGACAAAGAAATTTTACAATTCTTCATAAGGATACATGAAGAAAAAAAATAGCTCTACTAAAGAAACAGGAAATCAAAGTAATGTAGGTCAGTTACTTGAAAATATATAACCCTAGTTCTGAAGCTTCAGAAGAGATGAATTTATGAAAACCATTTTTCAAAATAAACCCAACTAAGTGCATAATGCCAAATATGTAAAAAAAACGTGATTATCATTACAGAGGAATACATGATCATGGAATTGGCTTTAACATAGCATGCTCAGCATGATCTTTAAAAAAATGATTAGATCTTTTGATTTCAGATTATTGAAACAACAATATGGTTCACATTTCAATCTTATTACACATCCAATCTAACTCATTCAACTGCTTAACTAATATGCTGCAAAAGCAACCTCGTTCACAGGTTGTATAAAGTATCGAGCCTTTCCAATGTCTGTGTAGAACTGAAAGCAAAAAAATAAATAAAATCGATCCCTTTACATCAATGCTTACTCAGAAGCAGCTCCTACTTAATTCAACCAGAACTTACTCTGAGGTGGCAAAGCACGCCTAGGGTAGAGTTAAAAGTTTACTTTGCAACTTTTCCTTTCCTTTCCCATTGCCATCAAGTCAGAACCTTCAAGTTACACAAACAGGTTCTCTGTTACCGTCAGGGGGAGAAAACTATTTGCAAATGTTACTATGTAGCTTGGGGAATGCAAGAGACTGTTCGGCCCTTGCACAAAATGGGGGAAGGCGGCGGCGGCGGACCATTTTCAGAGAGGGACAGGAAGGGGGGTGGGGGTGGAAGAAGGCTCCCCCTTCGCAAACAGCGAAAGCCCGGACACACGGGACCGGAGACGGAGGGTAGATTAAAAGGAGGAAGCTCCAACCGAGCGTACCCTGCTGAAACGGCGCGGGGAAGGCGAGCGATGAGAACGATGGGAAGAGCGACGGCTAGGCGGGGAGCGGTGGTGGCGACCCCTCGGAGAGGGGGAGCGGGAGCGTGACCCAAACCCGCGAGAGGAGTCGATGGGGCCGAGCCGGGACCGTTGAACTCTCGTGGCCGGGGGGCTGCTCCCGGGACGATACATGACGGTGGCCTCCACAGCTTTAAGCGTCCACGGAACCGTCCCCAGCCCCGTTCACCGATCCTCGCTCCTGTTTAAGCGTCTCATGACCATTTCCCCTCACCGAGACGCATGCGCAGCGAGCACAAACGCCGGATGTGCGGTTGAAGCTAGCTAGACAGAGCTTTCGTCTTTACAAAATGGCGGTGACAGAATCAGAGTCACGTGGCAGGAAGGGGCGTGGTTAAGAGAAAAGAGAGTCGGAGGATGTGAAGCGTAGATGTTAGTTATTCTTTACCTTTGAATTATTAATCCAGCAATTATCAGTCCTCTGCTTTTATACGGATCGTCCATGTTAAGAATCCCAATCAAAACCTAAAAGAAGGAGAGGCAGGTTGTGTAAATGATTCTGCCCCGCATCGTAGCGCTACAAAAAGGAGGATTCCAAATGATCGCTTGCTATAATTACAGCCAGAAGAGGAGAAACAATCAAAAACGCCTACCTGTTCATTTTAGTGCAAGGAATATTACGGGGATTTATGACAAATACATAAAACTTGGCTTGCCCATACCGGTAGTAGGAGAAAAGGTCTGTCCTAATTTGATCTCGTGAAACTCATGTCCCAGGAACACTGGGCGTTCGTGAACTGATATGTTCCGACCAATTATGTTTATTTTATTTATTAAATTTCTACAATGCCCATGTCACCTAAGTGACTGGAAGGTTACACCAGATGTAGACATCTTTTTAAACCTATCTCATAATGAAACTAACTTCAGGGGAAATTACGTCTTGTTCATCATCCAGTGCATACTTAAATGCCAATAAAATTTATAGCTCAGTTGAACCGTGGCGTGTTTGGTGCTCTCTGAGCTTGGTTGCTAGTATGCTTGCATCTAATCCTCAGCCCAACTATTTTTTCTGGATGTTGCTTTCATCTTGTCCCTTGCTCATGAGGGAGATTTGAGTTATCTTTAGCTGTATCCACGTTAGAGCAGTATTTGCCTCCTTTTTCTGATACCTTTCAAGGACAGGGACTATACAATCTCCATTGTTATACCACTACTTGCAGATTAAATCAGGCAATCGCTATGATTTGAAACAGAGGCAGTAGTAGCAGAATAAGGATTGATAATGAGGAGAGCAAATGTTATACTGACATACTTTCCTGCCAGCTGTAGGATGGATTAATAAAACCCAGTTATTAAGTGAAGTGAGGAAAGGCCTTGCAATTGCCTATCATTCTTCTTTCTATGCACCAGAATGAAATCTCTTTATCAGCCTGAACATCCATTTTCAGAACAAATAATACATTTTCCAGCAGACTCTGAGGGGAGCTACGAGGAGATACTGTAAATGCCATGCCTATATTAAAAAAAATCAGGGACATGAAAAGAGGTATTCTAAGGTTGAATTGTGCCATTATTTTGGAGGAAGAAAACAGCTGTCAAGACCAGTAAATAGGATAATTGCCCATCATTACTTTCTCCCAGATTCTCTTCTTTTTACTCATCTTCTCAGTGAATCATTGCAAATGCTAGATTCCAGTTTTGTCTGCCTTTTGTGCATTTCACAATTTAGAGAAAATACTAGGCAACTTGTGATCCATTGGATCATCCTTTGAGAAAGGTAGTGCAGTCTGATGTGACCAAAATGAACATTAAATTTTAGGTTTACCATATATTTCATGAACCAAAAAGCACGGAAATAGGAATGACTTCCAACTTCCTGCTGGCTTCCCCATTGATTTCCCCCTCCCTATTGATTTTGTTTATGGGAAGCCGGCAGGGCATGTCAAAAATCGCAATCACATGACAAGGATCTTGCCCCAATTTTGTGAATAAAACTGGTCTGAATATCATGGAAATTTAAATTCCACAGGAGTAATGGGTCCTGAATTTTTATGCATTTTTTAAGTTAAAGATTTTCAGGTACCCTGATTCAAAAATTGTGATACAATGCATTATTTGGGCTAACATGAGGGTATAAACACATAAACACATTTATATTTTTGGTAGTATATAAATACACAACGCAAAATTACATTTAAAGTTGCCCTGCCATTTCACATTTTTCCTTTTATGTCTTCTCTAAGAACTTTTCAGAGCTCCTTTATCCCAAAGGCAACTGGACTTTGTTTTTCTTTGAAGACGTTTCACTTCTAATCCAAGAAGTTTCTTCAACTCTGATAACTATGGGATAACTGTGACCTGGATGACTGAGAATCTCCATAGACATTGAGCTCCTTCTTTGAATAGTTTTGCTTTACAAACTTTGATTCCCTAAGAAAGGATTTTTTTCCTTTCTAAGAACAATCAAATTGCCTTGCTCTCTACAATGAATTTTTTTGTATCAGCATTAATGAAAGGTATCACCTTAAAGCATTTGATTCTAAAAATACCATCGTATTGTACTTGTATCAAAAGCACTGAGATGCTTCCAGGTTGAAAGGATTAGCCAGTGACATCACTGTTGCCCAGTTGGGGGTTTTTTTCATATCCCCGCTGGAGCTAGAGTGGGAGTGAAGGACAGAAGCTCACTCACCCCACAGCAGCACTGGGGTCTCAAACATGGGCTTGCTAACCTCCAACCCAGTGTCCTAACCACACAAACCACTGTACTTTTTAAAAATACTGATAGCACTACTGTGTTTCTCCGAAAAGTAAGACCTACCCCAAACTAAGCTCCAGCTTGATTTTGGGGGGTGGGCCTAATATAAGCCCTACTCCCAAAATAAGCCCTAGTTTTGGTGCAAGGCACACACCTAAAAATCAAGCTAGGGCAGGGGTGGGAGGGTGGAGGTGCTCCATGAGCCCCACACCCTCCTCGCTGGCCCACTTCTTCTGTGGCACCCTCAGTCAGGCCTTTTGCAGTCAGATATTTCTGGAAGGCCTCTGCAGTTAAGAACCAAGCTATGGATTGAATCCATAGCTTGGTTCTCGGCTGCAGAGGCCTTCCGGAAAGGCCTGACTGCGAAATGCAGGCCTAAGCTCCATTCTCAGCTGCAGAATGAAGCTGCTCTTTCGGCCGCAGAAGTGGGCCGGCTGTCGGTGCCGGAAGTGAGTGGAAAATACGCACACATACACACACACACACAAATAATACCTGGTACCTCTTTTGGAGGCAAAAAAAAAATAAGACTGGGTCTTATTTTCAGGGAAACACGGTATATACCAAGCTGACATACATGTCTTAAATGGCAAGACTTATAATATAGAAGCAATAAACATATGGCTGCTTTCTCTTCTCAGTTTTGTGAAGCCACTTGTTACATCTGAAACACCTTTTCATCTCTCTTTATGTATGCTTTGTGTCAAAACCGCAGAGGCTCAGTGGCTTAAAGATGCTGGAGGTGGTCTTTCCTGTGGTGATCTGAGTCCTAGCACCGTGTGGCGGAGTGAGCACCTTTCACTTGCCTCAGCTTCTGCCCACTTAGCAGTTTGAAAGCTGCTATAGATGGGAGTAGATAAATAGGTACCACTTTGCTGGGAAACATGGCGGCATTTTGTGTGGACGGTCAGACTCCTGCTGGTGCTGGACCTACTCAGATGTGATGCCCAACTATGAGGCGACATCGGTGGTGAGGGGAAGACCCAGATGATGCAGCAAGATGCCACTCATCTTTCTGGTGCAAAGCTAGTTTGCCCCCTGTGGTGCACTCTGGATAAATGCATGAGTGCAAACTAAATGGAGTAGCACTATTCAGCAGTCAAATTAGTACTACCGTGTTTCCCCAAAGAAAGCCCTCCCCCGAAAGTAAGCTCTAGCTTGCTTTTGGGGGGGGGGTGGGACTAATATAAGCCCTACCCCAAAAGTAAGTTCAATCAGATCTTCCAACTCTGCAAGATCTCTTTTTTTTTCGCAAGAAGTTGGAAGGTCTGATTGAACTGTTTTTTATAGTCCCACAAACACACGGCGAAGACTGAGAAACAAACGGAAAAATACAATGCAGCTGAAAGGCAGGTTAGTGAAAAAACTTGGGGGAGGCGAGGGCATCTGGACGGGGTGCAGCAATCTTCCCTGCACAACTTTGGCAGGTGTCTGGCAGGCGGAGGGAAGCAGCTCCACCCCGCTACCTGCCTCGCCTCACCTCATGGCGGCAGCAGCAGCCAGCTGGGCAGAAGCCGAGCTGGTGGCAGCAACTGGTAGAGACCAAAAGTACACAGTTGGCATCGTCAGGGCCCAAAGAGTGCCAGGTTCAGCCCGTACCCCGGCACATGCAGCACCGAGTAGGCATGCAGGCTGGCGTTCAGCAACCCAAAGGCGGAGGCGCGGGCAGCGCAATTCCACCAGTGGCTGCTGGCAAAGGGTCCTGGTAGGCTGGCAGCGGGGGGGGGCACTCCGGAGGTCAAACAAAAGATCTGGGCCAACTCGCCCCGCACCAGGCAGGAGCAACACAAAGCAGCGTGGCCAGGAGGGCAAAGAGCCCCCCGTGAGGCCAGAAGCAGCACGGGCAGCCCCTCGGCAGTCACACGGCACCAAATGCGGCCAAGAAATGTCCCAGCAGCAGTAGGGAGAGCAGGCAGGGCAGGCGGAGGCCGGGGCTCAACGAGGGTTTGGTTCGTTGAGGCCGCAGGCAACAGAAGGTGGGACGGAGAGGGCGGGGCCGGCAGTAGTAGCGCTCCTACTCCCATCAGCCCCTGCACTCTCCGCCCTCTATAAGTGAAAATAATAAACCCTACCCCAAAAGTAAGCCCTAGTGCTTATTTCAGAGCCCAAAAGAAAGTAAGACCAGTTGTTACTTTTGGGGAAACACGGTATGTATTAACATTGTAATAATAATAGTAGCAATAGTAGTAGTAGTAGTAGTAGTAGTAGTAGTAGTAGTAGTAGTAGTATAAAGTTGGAAGGGACCTTGGAGTTCTTCTAGTCCAACCCCCTGCTCAGGGAGGAAATCCTATACCATTTCAGACAAATGGCTATCCAGTCTCTTCTTAAAAACCTCCAGTGTTGGAGCATTCACAACTTCTGGAGGCAAATCGTTCTGTCAGGAAATTTCTCCTTAGTTCTAGGTTGCTTCTATCCATGATTAGTTTCCACCCATTGCTTCTTGTCCTACCTTCTGGTGCTTGGAAAATAGGTTGATCCCCTCTTTGTGCCATCCCCTTAGATTTTGGAACACTGCTATCATGTCACCCCTAGTCCTTTTTTTATTAAACCAATAAATAACATAAAAATTAAAAAGAATACTCAATTCCTGCAACTGTTCCTCTTATGTTTTAGCCTCCAGTTCCCTAATTATCTTTGATGGTTTTCTCTGCACATTTTCTAGAGTCTAAACATCTTTTTTATAACATGGCGACCAAAACTGGATGCAATTTCCAAATCACCAAGGCACAAACACTTCACGTGATACTAACACTTCATGTGATCTTGGTTCTATCCCTCTGTTAATCAGCCTAGGACTGTTGTTTTTTTGGGCAATTGCAGCACGTTTTCCTGATTTTTGTACCATCTAATCCAATATACTTCTGGATCATTCAAGGGCTTGATTAATACATTGCTCCAACAATGTAATTGCTGCTTTCATAGAGGCTCAAAACTGTACAATGTAAATTGTGGTTTAAAAGTCATGGTATCTAGATTCAGAAATTTAATACAAAATGCAGGTCTGAAAAAAATGAATATTATATCATAGTGCATGGAATAAATCAAGCCAAAAGCTACTGTTTTGTTAATTTTGGTTGGTCCTAATAAAAATATTGCATCACTTGTATATTTAATTCTTATTTCAGAATATTATCTCCATTCCCCCCCCGATATCCTTTTCCCTTTTTATATATATAAGTTTCGACAACAACCTTATCTGCCAATATATTTATCTATTTTAATTGGTAAACATGTGGACATGTATATTGCTGTTGCTGATTTTACCAGTAAGCCATGATAATATGAAAATGACATGTGCAGTAACATCATCACACAATGCCTTTGTGTACTTGGGTCCTAACTACATAAATTTCAGCATTTATGCAATTATGTTGACCCACACATCATTTCCCCCCATTGGGTGCAAAGAAAGACAAATACATGTCATCAGACAAATGTCATTTGTGTCAGACATTAGAATGCAAGTACCTAATAGCAGCATTTTTGTGATGCCACTACACATGATATGTTTGCCTGCAGCTTGTTCCATACACCACTGATTACTAGCCATAGGGATCACTGCCTACATCAAAATTACCATCCCTAAAAAGATGAAAAGTAATTACTAAGAGTATCAATACTTGGGGGAACATTATTACTACTTCATCCTTTCCAGACACTCCTCAGTAAGAAAAAAGATGTTTTGTTAAATGTGACTGAGCTGTGATGATACAATCTGATAGTCTATGGAGAGGGCAGGAAGGCACTGGTTGCTAGTATTTTAATTATTGTATTTATTTTATAAAGTTTACATATTTATCAATTGTGTATTACAAAAATAATCTTTCCTTCAGGTTTTTTTTGTTTAACTTAGGTATTTCCATGTATACAACTAGGAACTTAGCCATGATCCTAAAGTGTTGACATATTTCTGGTGTGAAATGAGGAGAGCTGAGCAGTAATACACATTTGTCAATTGTGTATTACAAAAATAATCTTTCCTTCAGGTTTTTTTTTTTTGCTTAGGTGTTTCTATGTACACAACCTAAGAATTTAGCCACAATCCTAAAGTGTTGACATATTTATGATGTGAGATGAGGGGAGCTGAGCAGTCAAGGCCAACACGAACATTCTATACACTCAGCATTTATCATGATGGAATATAGAAAGTACTACTGAATGGAACAGATTTTATCACTCAACCCAAAGAACATTATGCAATATTGTCTGTTTAAATGCATCGTTACCTTCACTAGCACATAGAGAAGGTAAAGTAATTGATTGTACACTTTTTAAATCTTGCCATTGCCAGGTAAGGATTGTATACTCTCCTACCTAAATTCCTGGGAAAGTATGGCCAATCAATATGGCAGCTTCTGAGCTGAATGTATCCGTGAAGTGACTTGCTGTAAAACAACTTCCAATGTTCCATTAGAAAAGGAACAGCAGATGGGAGAGGAACACCTGTTCCTGAAAACATGCAAAACTTAGCAACAAAAATAACTGTTCTGAAAATTGGGTTTTGTATCTGCAACCCTAAAACTTTTGTTTCAAAATTTCAACAGTTTTACTGCCTCTTTTTTCATATAATCCAACATGAATCTTGAGGCACTCTTTTCTCCAAATTTATAGCATGTATCTCTTTTCCTCTTTCCCACATACATGCACACTATGTGGAATCCTCCAACAATATAATTATTTTGATATCACTCCTAAGTTCTTTCTCTCAAGAACTTGTTCCTTGGGATTGGAACTAGAATAGAACTTTACTTCCAATTTCACAGATGTCTATCTTCTTTCTGGCAAGTGTGAAGGCTCAAACCAGATATCCAAGGCAAAGAATGGACATTGGTTTCTGTTTTTGCTCCCGTTTGACACCATAGCTGAGGAAATGTGTTGCTGGATTGGTGAATGACGTAATATAAAATTAAGCATTAACAAACCTCCTGAGATGATTTGGTGTAATACAGAATCTGTCTTTCATTTGCAATTAAACAAACAAACAAACAAAAAAGAAAATGAGATAGAAGAGAAGGGAGATGTAATAAAAATGGTCAGCAAATTGTCTCATGGCATTATGAGGCCCTTGGGAAAATATTGTCATTGGAACACAAAATGGCCTCTGGTAGAAAAATTCTATATTGTTTGGACCAGAATTCTAGAGTCAGGGCATATCCACAGCAGTTTCTAAACTCTCAGAATAGGCCATATGAAACCTGCAAAGACTCTAACCAAGAGTTATCAGATGCCTGAAGGCCTAACAAAGTTACAGCTCCTATAAACTGTCTTGGCACCTTTGGCGCCATTATACATTGCAGAACGCATGTCGGATAACAACCTTCTGATCCACTTGCTGTTTTCAAAAGGAGGGTTATCCTAGCCCAATGTTTCCTTGGCTGCCTTGATGAGTTGAAGTCAACATGCCAATGGATTTACTGCACACATTCAAGAATTCTTTTCTAAAAGCAGGATTTACTGCCTTGTGGACACTTTCCTTCATGCCAATTCACAGCCTTCAGTTCCATCAGAGCCCTCAACGCTTTGGAGATAAGCAGCCAGAACTGACCCCAGACGTGGCTGGAAGGATTCTCTGAATCACCGGTGGGCATTTCTAGATCAACCAGGCTCTGATTCTGGCTCCTTACAGCTCTGTTGTTTTCCTGGGTTCTATCAAGATTGTACTTAACATTCCCACTTGACATTCTTGGTCCTGAAGCTTCCTTGCAGTTTGGGAGGGGCTCTGACTTCTCTGGCGCCCCCTCTGCCAATTCTTCAGCAGCAGCAACACGGTCACTAAGACCAACACAATAGTAATTCCCCCAAATACAAGCACTAAAATGAGCTGTGACTGACTCAGTCCTGAGTCTTGCTGAGTCACCACCTCTTTCACAGAGATTAACAGCCCGCCATCATTTGATTTCTCGCTGTAGTTAGTGATCCGCTTTCCCGTAACTATAACCTTGGCCGGCTCAGACTGGGTCATCCAAGCGTAACTGCTGGTTGTGCTTCCCAGAGCCCTGTTGTGGTCCTTGGCATCAGGCTGGGATATAGTGATCCAGGTTGCCTCGGGAGCTAGGAGCTCACATGTTTTCCCAGCAAAGCCCTCGGGACACAAGCAATCAAAATTGTTGATACGATCATAACACTTAGCCCCATTCTTGCATGGTTGGCTGACACAATCATCAATGTTGATGGTGCAGAAACGTCCTTCAAAGCCATCCTGGCACTGACAGGAGAAGCGATTAATGCCATCGAGGCAGGTGGCGCCATTGGCACAGGGACGCATGAGGCAGTCATCGACATCAGTCTCGCAATGTGTACCAGTGAATCCAGCCAAGCACTTGCAGGTGTAATTGGAAGCAAAGCCATTATTATCATGGCACGATGCACCATTTTTGCATGGAAATCTGAAAGGACAGACCAGGGAAAAATTAAGACCCATCATGCTGTTTTTATTAGACCCCATAAGGTCCATTACCAAAGTTGGAAGTTTTAATTTCCTTTTTGTAAAACTAAAACTTCAGTCAAACTTTGCCCAAAGGTTACAATGCGCTTGTTTTCATTTACATGGGGTTTTCTTTAAGATGTAACATTCATTGTGACCAAAGCAGAGGAGTTCTGGCCTCATATTATCCTTCTGCTATTACCATCTGTTTTTACGAGGACTGCTCACCCTGCTTTCTCACATGGCCCTGTCTTCAGCTCGCAGTCCTTTCCATGGAATCCTTCAAGGCACTGACAGGAATATTCTCCGTCACGATCATAAACACACTCAGCTCCATTTTTGCACGGCGACTGATGCTCGCAGATGTGAACATCTGAAATAATCAAAAAAATAAAAGGCAGGTTAAAAGATTTTTAGCCTTGATTTCCTCCTGCCAGTTTTAAGTCCCACCTTTAAAAAAAAAGACCCATTAATATACTTTTTATGTCACAATCATGAAATAGAATTTTAAAAAATACAAAAAAGGGATGCGGGTCCCATAGACATCTACAGGGAGGCGCTTCTTAACAGTTACAGTTGTTTGACCAGGATGCATCTACAGATAGTCCTTGACCATACTTTAGCCCAAAGTTTCTGTTGCTAAATGAGGCAATTGTTAAGTGAGTTTTGCCCCATTTTATGAGCTTTCTTGCCACAGCTGTTAAGTGAATTACTGCAGTTATTAAGTTAGTAATACAGTTGTTAAGTGAATCTGGCTTCCCCATTGACTTTGCTTGTCAGAAGGTCATGGAAGGGACTCACATGATCCCAGGCCACTGCAACTTTCATACATATAAGCCAATTGCCAAATTTTGATCAAGTGACCATGGGGATACTGCAATGGTCATAAAGTCATGTCACATTTTTCAATGCTGTTGTAACTTTGAATGGTTACTAAACAAATGGTTGTCGGTAAGTCGAGGACTACTTGTAATTTGACTTGAGCTATGGGTGGAAGTTTCCTTTTAATCAACTTGATCTCAAGAAAAAGATGGTAAACTCAGCCATTAAGTAAGTGATAAAAAGCATCTTCATCATAACTCAGTAGCATAGCATACTTAGTATCTGAAACAAACAAAGTGACAAGTCAGGAGGAGGAAAGTATAGAACTGAGCAGTTAGACCAGTCAAAAGGGAAAACATAAAACGTATTTTTCTAAAATAATTTGTTTGGATTTGTCACTTCCTTCTTCATACCAAGAAGCTACTTTTTAATTTTCCTCCTAAAACACCTGAAACCCACTCACACAACAAACTAACGTTAACATGTTAATATAGCTGAGTTTAGATACATGCTTTATCCATGCTTTACACATTCTCAGAATGTAAGAATGTCCCTCCCAAACAGGGTGAAATGTTCAAAGGGTGAAGATTGATGACCCAACAGTGTGTCCAAGGGAAACCTTGCAAGGGATGGAATGAAGTGGCAGCAATATTCAACAAAAGCCACTTTTGTTGAATGACCCCACTTATACTGAAACTGCTAAAATTAAAAATGCCTTTTTTTTTCAGAAGTACATTATCACTGTCTTCACCCAGCCTGACAAGGAGGCACTTACTCCTACTGAGGCTTGTATAGATAAGTCCAGTCTGAAAGGAAGAGGATCAAGAACTCTAGCAACTGTTGTCTTCTTAAAAAAACACCCTTCCAAGACAAGAAAATGCTGCCAACAAGGCTATATGATTACTGAGATTAGGCTGAACTGCTGCTGTTGTTTTAAAGCTAAAGCCAGACAAAATGCAGATGTCACTTTTCAAGGCTGGGAACTAAATGGCCTAAAAATCCTAACCTGAAGTTTAAAATACAGGAGAAAATGCCTATGGTTTAAACCAGGGGTCTTCAAACTTGGCCCTTTTTCGACTTGTGGACTTTAACTCCCAGAATTCCTCAGCCAGGTATGCTGGCTGAGGAATTCTGGGAGTTGAAGTCCACAATTCTTGGAGTTGAAGTCCACAAGTCCTAAAAAGGCCAGGTTTGAAGACCCCTCGCTTAAACCTTGGGACTGACTCACATGCATAGGTAGTCCTCAATTTACAACCACAATTGAGTCCAGAATTTATATTGCTAAGTAAGAAATTTGTTAAGTGAGTTTTGTCCCATTTTACAACTTTTCTTGCCACACTTGTTAAGTGAATCACTGCAGTTGTTAAGTTAGTAACACGGTTGTTAAGTGAGTCTGGCTTCCCCATTGACTTTGCTTGTCAGAAGATTGCAAAAGATGATCACATGACCTCGGGACACAGCAACCGTCATAAATATGAACCAGTTGTCAAGCATCCAAATGTAAATCACATGGCCATGCGGATGCTGCAACAGTCAAAAGTGTACAAAATGGTCATAAGTCACTTTTTTCAATGCCATTGTAACTTCAGATGGTCACTAAATGAACTCTAGTATGCCGAGGACTACCTGTATATGACATCTTCTGTACCACAGTAAAAGCTACTTTTCTTTCTGTGCCAAGTCCTTGAAATTTTTGTAGTTTGCCTACCAAGTGTGGGGTCAAGCTTCCAGAAAGAAATTTATTCCCAGATCTCATGTGAAGCCTGGCAACTTGGAAGAAGTAACTCCATAGTCTAGCATGCTTTGCATACAGAACTCTTCAAATTAATCTCTAGAATCTCCGAGTACATCTTGAGAATATCCCATAAGGAACCCAGGGAAACCACAAATGTTATATTTCAGTGTAAAGCAGCATTATGTAAGAATATCTACTTCTAATACTGTGTATCTCCATTGTCCAGATTTTATTTAAGATTTTTCCATCCTGCTTCAATTGGAGCAACCTACCTTTGTCACAGAACTTGCCAGCCCAGCCACTTTGGCAAATGCATTGCCAGGGCTGGTGGCATGTCCCATGGCCACAGCCAGGCATTCTCACACAGTGTTCACAATATTTTCCCTCCCAACCGGGATCACATCTGCAAAAGAATGCAAGGTCTGGATGAGCAGACAAAATTCCAGTATAACTTGTATTAGTCAAAGGATTTTTTTCCCCGTCCATACTAAACATTGCAACCTAAAACTTTTCCAATTCTGTTTGTAATCCATAATGTGTGTTTGATATGTACTGTATGCACAATGGCTATTTCTACACCTTACTATCAACTTTGAGATAAATAAAAGATTAAAGATACTGAACTGGCATTCTGTCTCTGACACAGATTTTCTCTCCAGCTTTGGTTAGTAGAACTTCTTATCTTCCATCTAACTTCTGTCTCAGAGAAGCAATGTGTTTTCATTCAAAAAAGTTTTCCCACTGCCTCTTTCTGTTTGTCTTCAACCTACTTCTCGAGAATATGCCCAATTCCATTTGAAGAGTTTTCAAACCAATATCCCAATAATATATCAAATTGTCTGGTATATCTCAGGATCACCCAGCCAATGATGCTTTTTAACATAAATCTTCAAAGCCACTGCTGTGTAATTCAGTTTTAGTTGCTAATCATTACACTTTCATCAAAGATCTATCTATCTATCTATCTATCTATCTATCTATCTATCTATCTATCTATCTATCTATCTATCTATCTATCTATCTATCTATCTATCTATCTATCTAATTTCTATAGCTACCCATCTCAACAAGTGACCCTTGACAGTGCATGTCATAACACATAAAAAACATCTATCAAAATAGTACAAAATTAAATATAATGCAAATATAAATAAATGTACTTTTCTTATATCCAGAGTTCTCCTTTCCAAGAACCCACAGCGGATGTCAGCTCCATAGGCCCTTCTTCTCTATATAAGAATATCTTGCTATAAGTAATTAAGCTAAACCCTTCTCAACTTATTGAAATAAAGCATTTCTTTGGGTGTCTGAGCCTCTTTGGCTTCTGCGAAAGAATCACAGAAAGACAAGCCTTCTTGTGACTGTCATATGCATTGTTACAATATATTATATTGATAAAGAAGCAACGGCAGACAGAATGGAAGGCTACATATAGAAAGGCTGTACTTGCATCAAATAATTGTTTACCTGCATTTGCCATTCTTTTCACAGCTGCCGTGGGCCAAATTACAGTGGTCACTGCAGTCATCACCTGCAACTTAGAAAAGAGCATAGAACTTTATGTACAACAAAGCCAAGAATGCAATGGCTAACTACATCAACATTACAATGAAAGTGTAAGACTGGCATAATAATAAGGCTCCTTCTTAATACAGATTGGTCAAATCAGAAAAAAACTGGGATCCCAGTCCAAGATTCCTCATGAGTATTAAACCTCTATGCCACCTAGAGTCACCTCGGCAAAATGGGTGGCATAGAAGTTAATAATAAAATAAAAAAATAAAATGAATAAAATATAAATAAAATAAAATATTACAATCCATAAAAGTAGTACCAGTTTACTTGAGATTCCCCACTCACTTCTGTGGAATAACTACACATTTATTCTTTTACACATGGTCTTCTCTTTCTCTTTCTCACTTAAAGACAGAAGGTTTGACAAAATGCTATTCTCCCTAGAAATACTAAGTTGGAACTAAGGTAGTGAAAATTCATTTTCATCTCAGGCATATATTTTTTTTTCAAATTCTGTGTATCTCTCTCTGTATCTTCCACTGTATCAGACCATCTTCATTTATTCTTTTACTATGTAGGTCTTGTGCATTTATCATATCAGTCTAAACATTTTCCCTGAAAGTTCAAGTCTGCAGAATCATATACATGAAAGGACATTTGGGTATTCAAATAAAACTTATTCAGCTTGTCCAGCTGTTCACCTAATGAGGGGGGAGCCCACTATCACTTTGATAATTGGTTCCACCATTGAACTGTTCTTACAGTATAAAGTATTTTCTTACTGTTTGGCTTCCTTTCTGTAACTTCTGTTCCTTATTTTCTGTCCTGCATTCTGGGTCATAGAGAACAGATCTGAACTTTTTCCCCCATCCAGACATTCACAGTCTCCAAGGACTGGGGCCGCACTCCAACAGCATCATCTTTTTGGGCCAAAGTGGAAATATATAACTGGGTATCATCAACACCAATAATGCCATATCTCATGCTTTCAAATGACCTCACTCACTGGTGTAATGCAGATGTCAAAGAAGATCAAGTTTCACATTTCAGAAACCTATTCCCCCATCACCAATACTGACTGGAACCAGCTGCATAGGAAGGAGAAGAACCACTACAAAACAACATCTCCCGTTCCCCAAAGCTGGTCTAGAAAGATACCGTAGTCAATGTTACCAAAAGATCCAAGTGGGCCAACATGGTTCTGCCATTTCCATCTCAAGCCCTCCAGAGAATTTCCATGGTGGGATTTCCCTGAATTCAGTCGACTTTGCTCTTCATCCTTCACCAAAGTGCACAGGGCATCTCTTGTTCCACTTCCTCACTCACAACCCTAAAGCCACAAACTCTACAAGACCTGTAACTACAAAATCCTCATGAGAATAATCCAGTCTAGGCCCCTGTGCTCATTCCAAACTGCAGCAAAGACCTCCACTAAACTGTGTGCCAGAGCTTTGGGGAAAACGGCAAACTCCTTCTGAAATTGCATTGGGTCCCTTAGCTATTAAGGTGGGCTGATCAAGAGGCTCTGGCTCCCTGCATGGAAAGGTTGCTGCGAATAACTCTAGGGCCATGGTAAGGGATTTATGTTATCATCCTGCAAACCCAAAGTCACAATTCCACTGCCTTAAAACAAAAAACAAATCCAATGTGTGATCCTCCATGTGAGTCAGGCCCTGAATAAGTTGGACCAGGCTCATGGTTGTCATGGTGGGCATGACTCTTGAACTATCTAAGACTCCAGGCCCAATGAAGGCAAGATGAAGTTTCCCAGAACCATAATTCTGGGGAACTCCATTGCCAACTTCATAACAGAATCCAGGAGTTTAGGAAAGAATGTTGTCAACACTATAGAGAGGAAGATAGTTAAGGAACAATTTCAGCTGTCCCCCATAACTAATCTCACAGAGAAGGTCTTGCATCCAATTATGTAAAGGACATAGCCATAAAAGGCCCCCAAAGACTATCTTATAACAATAGCCATCCCCATTCCTATTCCAGAGTGGGTGACACACCTAAAACCTGGGAGGGCACATTTCAGAGACAGGATACCCTCTTCACAAAGAAAGGATCAACCTATTCTCCAAAGCACCTGAAAGCAGGATAAGAAGCAATGGATGAAACTAATCAAGGAGAGAACCAACCTAGAACTAAGGAGAAATTTCCTGATGGAACAATTAATCAGTAGAACAACCTGCCTCCAGAAGTTGTAGGTGCTCCAACACTGGACGTTTTTAAGAAGAGATTGGACAACGATTTGTCTGAAATGGTATAGGGTTTCCTGCCTGAGCAGGGAGTTGGACTAGAAGACTTCCAAGGTCTCATAATTTTGTCCAACCAATTTTTGGTTAAAATCAGAATGACGGTAGCAATATAAGAATAGTCACCCACAGGCAGCCAGTAACCCCAAGGGAGATTGGAGTGCACAATAGCAGCTGATGATGATGGAGGTGATACCGGTCTAGGAGTTGCAACGTACAAGAGATGACACAAGATTTATTACTATATTTAAAGAAAGTGATTATGAGACTTTATCTAAGTTCCCACATGTTTGTTTAATCATGATTTGCAGAATAGCTTCAATCAATTGGGTTCCCATATCAAACAAGAAAACCACATTATGGCTCAATGTAAAGTGTGCACCCAGGATTCAAAACCTATTAGTGGTCTCAGCACTAATAAGTGCTAACAGAGAAAGAAAAGAAGCACTATCTAGCACGAATGCCTGTTACTCAGTATAACTACATCAACTAAAACTGAGGAAGAGTCTGGAAACTGGAATGGATTCTTCCATCTTCATGCTGAGAAGCCACTAATATTTCCAGTTCTGTGCCCCATCATTTGAGAATTAGAAGTGTTCCAAGGTCTGGATTTCTTTTTAATTACCTAAGTATCTCCAAGGTTGTAATTGAGCCGCCCTCTTGTCCCACCTTTCAATCTCCTACCATGACTTCTTCCCATCCTTTGTCTCCATCCTAGTTTCTTGTGCACAAAGCTACTCTGGCTTCTCTTTCAGTGAGGGGGGAGTCATTTATTGTTATGTATCTCTTGCATATACTATGGTTTCCATAAGGAGGAAGCTAAGATAATGTAGGGAAAACTAAATCAGGTGTGATGTAATGATAACAATAGGATACTTTAATATGGAAATCTGATTCTGTTCAGGGAAGTAGTAGATTGAGATGGAGGGAAAGAGTTAATTAATCCTTCCTCTGATTGTCATTTCCTGCATTAAAACTGAGGTTTTCTCCAGGATGAAGATGGTATAACTGCAAATAGCAACTTCCTTTCTAGACCAAAATGTAATTTTAACAAGAATAACTTAAGGTATGAAAATATTGCAGGGGACAAGGCAAACAAGAACAACAAAACTTTCAGATGAGAATATCACAGTCCAGGTAGGATTTTTTTTTCCTGGTCTTATAGCAAAGTTCAAGTATTTCGTGTTATTTTTGTTGTTTTTAACTCTGTTGGCTTTTTTACTTTTATTTTATGTTAATTTAATACATGACACCCCGAGTCATGTACATGAGATGAGCAGCCTGAATAGTTACTGAATAAATAATAATGTAGCCTCTGTTTTCCATTCATTATTATTTCTGGTCCTCAGGAATATTGTGAGGCCATCCACAGAATGTCCAGTAGGTGTCACTGCCTACATAAAAACTTAAAATGCAGTGAGGTAAAGTTCAGATGCAGGACAGCCAGCACAGTAACAGAACAGACATCCTGAATGTCAGCCAATTCAATTTAAACATTACTTCCATATTTTCAATCCAAACTCATTCCAGATGCAAGCAGGGATACATCACAGTGAAAGGCTAAAGTACGTAAGAATTTCCACTCTAAAACATCCTCCGGCTACTTTCTCCCTTTATGTGAAGAGATTCAGGTGGAGAATTTTGGGGGAAAGACTTTCCTGCTCTGTATTAGGGCTGTATTGGATTTGTTCAAAGGGAAAAACAACATCTCCCATGAGACCTAGGAAAATCTAAGGTAATCCTGTGCCACCATCTCCCAGGAGTAACTTTTTTTTTCCCCAGTGCCATTGTAATTTTTCTGCAGTGAACATTTCTTACCATTGGAAAAGTGTCATATCGATCTGTTATTAATATTACTATGACTTACTGTGAGAAACGTCAAGGCAATTTTCGCTTGCAGCCCATCTACCACTCTAAAATCTTTCAATGATTTCTATGATGGATTAATTTGTATTTTTATTATTTTTATGATGGATTATACTCTCCTTCCTTAACTCATACTGGGGTCTGTGTGCACATAAAACGCCACTAGTGCCCAATATCAGATAAGGATCACTTGCCCTGCTACCTTCATGCACTGTATAGCTTTGTATTATACCATCATTTGGGAAACAAATCTGAATAGCTCCACAGACATAATGTTTTCTTTGTCATCACCTTGTCCTCAAAACTTTTTTGCCTCCTGGTCCGAACTCTTTCCTTGGCTGCCTTCTCTTGAGGTTGGGAAGGAATCCCGACCTCAAACCAAATCCTGAAAGCTAATTTTGTAAAGGTGCTTATTTGGCACCTGAAGAACAACCCTCTTCAAATGAGACCCACCACTCACAGAGAATTATATAAAGGAAGGTCATATGTATAGTGACAAAATAAAATGTTCTCCCTGTCTGGTGGCACTTTAGAGAGTTCAAGTGAATGTTTAGTTAATCCTCACCTTGGGTAAAGTGGTGATGGGCCGCAAGAATCCAAAGCAAGGACATGAGCTGAAGACAGAAACTCCTGAGCATGATCAGTGTGGCCCCACCGAGATAGTCACCTACAAGAAACAAAAGACAAAATCAGAATCCTGCTCTGCTGGCCTCTTCCCTGCAGCGCTATCAGCCAATCTTATATTCCAAACACCTGAATGGATACAAAGTTAAACATGTTAAAATGATAAACCTTCGGAATCAGCTGGCATATTGTGCTCCATAAGCAATAGAACACACACACACACCCCTACCCATTCAAGCTTTTCTCCCCATTTACTTGGGAAGGGATTAACTCCCCTAGACCAGTGGTGGTGAACCTATGGCACATGTGCCAGAGGCGGCACGCAGAGCCTTCTCTATGGGCACGCGCACTGTCGCCCCAGCCCTGCCTCCCCTGCAGCCCCTTCCTCATCAGCAGCCCCCCCCGTAGAAGAGTCACCCCCGGGCACAGCCCGCACGGAGCAGTGCAGCCAAGGACATTGCAGCCAGGCAGCAGGGACAAGACTCCGCCCTCACGCCCATCGCGCGCAGATGATACTGCGGGGCGCAGGCAGAGGGCGTGGCCACCATGGTGCTGCAGGGCGCTTGGTCAAACTGCTGTGATGGGCCATGGAGGCTGTGGGTGGCCCTGTGGGCAGGCAGGGCAGGGGGCGGGCGGGGGCGGAGGGGTGGGTGGCGGGTTTTGGGCACTCGGTGTCTAAAAGATTCGCCATCACTGCCCTAGACCTATGAAAAACTAAGCCCTTCTTTAAAATCAAGCGCATAGATCAGAGAGCGATTCTTCTGAAGGTATTGTTCACTATACAATACACGTGTTCCAAAGTGAAACTCCACCTGAATAGATAACCCTATTTAGAGCTGAAGCAAAGCTGAAGCCCCAAAAAGGTCATGGGGTTATTTGGCTAATTAAAAGTGCAATCTTCTGCTCCCTGCTCAGAAATAATTCCAACTGTTTGCTGAGCAATTCTGACAATGCTCCATCTCCGGCAGCACAAGGGCACTTAATGGGAGGATAGTTTAAAATTGGAGAATGAATTTAACCATGTTGCTGTTTAGTCATGGCTATTCCTACTGCTTCATGTCTCCAGCAGAACCACCAATGGTTATTTTCAACTGCTGTCTACTATTCTGAAGGAATATTATAGTTGTTGTTTTTTTTTAAAAAATGGTTAGATTTGCTTATTACATGTGCATCCCTTTTATTGTGAAAAATTGGAAATCCCTCTTATTAGGGGATATTGGTCAATATGTGCAATGTTAGCCTGTTCCAACTTGCAAACCTCCAGGGTATTAAGCATAAAGCTTTCGATACACTATCTGGAGAGGCAGGAATTGAATCCAAGATCTTCCCTCTAGAAAGCCTGTATGTTCCTACTAAATGCCAGCTTTTCCCTTGCTTCCAAATATCTCCAATCAACATACTTGCGACTATTTTATAGCATTATTCATGCCAGCAAGAGTGGGAAACTTGAAGATCCAGCGATGCAGATGACCTGAGCTACTCTTTGACAGCTGTGAGTAGCAATAGCAATAGCACTTAGACTTATATTTCGCTTCATAGTGCTTTACAGCCCTCTCTAAGCAGTTTACAGAGTCATTATATGACCCCCCCAACAATCTGGGTCCTCACTGATCACACTGCATCATTGCTTTGGGTCAAGGAAAACTTCAAAGCTGTACAAATAACTCCCCAAAAACCTCAGCCTAGATTTTTTTTTTTTTGCAAAGATAACAGTGGGCAACTTCCTCCACTCCCCTCCCACCAAGATCACAACTCATCCTACATATGACAGATACACCTTTTTTGTATCATGGCCTGCCCCTCTTCTTCTTCTCCATTATCCCCAATATACAGTAAGTATATAGACCATATCACTGAAAGAATGGTCACAACTGAATAAAATATAGCCCGTTGTAACATTTTAACCTTTCTTCAAATTCTAGGCTAACCTCATAGATTGCATGTGTACACACACACCAACACATGCATAATGCATGAGTGTGCACACATACACACATACACTTATTGGTTTAACATTTATTCCCCCTTTTGACAGAAGATTTGGCCAGACAAATCTTTTGCAGCCAGAGGCTGCATTTAAAAAAAATAAAAGAACTGCAGATAGAATAGCAAGGATATATTACTATAATTAGAATTGCAGAAGTAGTTGGGGTTTTTTTTGTTTGTTTTTTTGCATTGGGGGAACCAAGGGCAAAAGAGTTTTAAGCCTGGTGATTTAGTGAACCAATTTTACTCCTTATTTCATGAAAAAGATCTAAGAAAAAATATATAAGTTTTTAGGACACTAAGAAGTAGGGGGAGCTGGGGTCCTGCAGCCATGTCATTCACCCTGGCTGCAGGGATAGCTTTATTCATTAAGGATGTGAAATAGATGCTGAGGACTAGGAAGAGAAGTGAAGAGGAGAGAACAGAATGTGCCAAACTGTGACCCTTAAAATAACCACCAGTCATTTGAATTAAAGATGCTGAACCACTGCTGCTATTAACTAAATGCAACAGCAAGTCCAGTCAATTTTTGTGTACAGAACAGAGGAAGCACCAGCTGCTCCTTTGTTTTGGGTAAAAAACAAAGTCCCCCACCCACATTCTCTCAGCACTTTCCCTAAACTACAATCCCCAAGTCACTGTAATGCAGAAACAGTAAGTAAAACTATTGTTGCTTTGTAGTGGTGATAGAGCTTAAGGAAATATGAAAAGACAAGAATATAATTACAAGTGCATTGCGCCCATCTCAGAATTGTTGATCTCATGAAGCTATATGTATTCTTGTTGAAGATATCCTGGGTGAGTTTACAATAAAGATTCCATGCATGTTTGATTATTAAAGGATGTTATTTTTATGAGCCTACATAGAATTCTGGTCACGTTCTGCTGTGGGTAACCGAACTCTACCGTTTCCCTAAAATTCTATTGTTGTTCCAATTGGCTAGCAGATTGGCTTTCATTTCTTATCCTGAAGTATTATGCCGTGGTGTAGTGTTTTGTGCTGCTGAACAGCTGCTGCATATCAGGGAAGGGCAAAATGATTCCTGTGAATCTTATAAAATAATTTATGGATTAAGGATGAACAGTTGGTAACCAATTCCTCTTGAGCTATTAGGACCCCAGCTGAATGCCACATGTCATTGAAAAGGTCATTTCTCCCCTCCACTCCCAATAAAGTCTTCAAAGCAGAGATATGACCTAAGTCACCAGCAATCATAAATCAATTATTATTATTTTTCTAATTGTTTTCCTCCATAAATGTATTAGAAGCTCAGTACCCTGATCCACTTTGAAGGATCTTCACAACTTTCATTGTAGGAGAGCTGTGTTAGTCCACGGTCGTCAAAAACCATAAGGAATCTGGTAGCATCTTTTCTAAGTAATAAAATATTGTTAAAGTTTTCTCAATATTAAATCGTGCTCTAGATATTGCCACTTCACCCTCTCTGTTTAATGATTTGGGAACAAGCTATTCCTTTCACAGGCAGCAAATAAGATTCCAAAGGAATCTTTTCATTTATAACTAGATGGCTTCCCTGAATTAGCTGAACTGGAGGCCCCTAGGAGGACAAAAAGAAAAAAGATACTCAAGTACATTTCTGGGTTATAGATTATGCAATAGCATTTGAAATCATATGGTGGGGTCACTCATCACTATGTAAAGCAGAGTTACTGAATCAAGAATTCATCAAGAAACCAGATAAGATGCTGTATTCTCTGCTTCCAATATTTTCAACTGATCCTTTAGAGTTGATGGACTGACAACCTAAAGAGGATAGATCAAAGAAATTAGCACCCAGACCAGTGTATTAAAAAAACCAGATCTATACGTTATCCTAAAATATGGAAGCAATTTCTCCTGCTTTAGAACGTGGCTCTTAGATCTGAGTTTCTAATTCCATGCCCCAGGAAAGGAACAAGCATTATTCAAATTTTACAAAGGCAAGATTGGCCAAGTAAAAAAACCTATGTGGAAAGCTGAGTGTCCTTCACATCGGTGTTAGGTAGAATTGGTGGTCCTTCTATACCAGGGGTAGGCAACCTTGGCTCTTTTATGACTCGTGGACTTCAACTCCCAGAATTCCTGAGCCAGCCATGCTGGCTCAGGAATTCTGGGAGTTGAAGTCCACGAGTCATAAAAGAGCCAAGGTTGCCTACCCCTGTTCTATACACTGCATGCCTATGCACAGTTCTGCTGTTTAAAGCCCACTGCTAAAAAGCAACATGGCTTTGCCCAACAACTTATTTTATTTATTACATTTTTAGGCTGCCCATGTCTTATAAGGCAACTCTGGGCAGCTTACAACTTAACTGGAGAAAAAGGCAACTTGGCCAGGATCCCCCGTCCCCAAGTGCCTCCAGGTCTCCCCATCCCCACAGCATTTGCAGAGTTGACCTCGCCTCCGTTTGTTAGCTCGGAGGGTCCTTCTCTTCAAAACTGCTATTTCTCGGAGGGCGGGTCGAAATACACCGCCTCTTTCTGCCTCAACCTCTTAGTACCGCAAGAGAGATGAATAAACAACCTCATTCAGAGACGGCGGAGAGTTCCCCCCCAAAAAAGGCCTAGGCTGGCCACATCCTCCGCCTGATGATCTCCGCGATCATCCCGCGGGCCCCGCATCGCCTCGTCTTTTCTCCCCGCCCGGCTCGCCTACGGATTCCCGCTGGCCCAGAAAAGGGAGCCTCTACTACGGAGGGCAGCGGGAGCCTCCGCTGCGCACCCCTCCCAGCAGCCCCACGTGCTCCTCCCGCCGCTGCCTGGCAGACGAGCCTCTCTGACAGCCTCTTCCCGAGAGCCCCACCCCAAGGTAGGGCGGCAGACCCTTCCCAAACCCACAGCCGCCTCTGCTCCTTCCAGGTGCGGAGGGGAGGAGCGCGCCTGCCCAGCCGCCGCCGCAGCAGCGCACATGCCGAGGACTCTCGCCGCCAGCCGCCATCCAAACGCCTCCTCCCCTCGCCCCAAAGAGCCCTCTCCGACCGCGCCAGCCTCCATTTGCAGGGCAGACCCTGGGGTGCCAGCTCGCCCGGGCAGCGCCCCCCCACCCCCGCCGCTGCCTTTGCCGCCTGCCTCCTCGTGCGCCGAGGGATCCTCCCTCCCTCCCATTTCATTTCAGACCTACCTTTCTTTCCCGGCAGCTCTTCCCCAATTTCCCCGGATCCCTTCCAGGCCACCCTGGCTCCCCCCTTCCCTGCGCGCATCCCTCCCCTCTCGGATGCCCCCACCCCGTGCCCCAAAGCAGACCAACAACTTCCCCTTTTGCTCACCTCGGCGATCGCGGCGGCTCCTTGCTTTCTCCCCCCCGGGCCGGGGGCGTGCCTGCTGGCCTCCCTTTCCCTGCTTCGGGACTAGCGCGGGGATCGGCGAAGGGGGGCTGCCATGCCCTGCCCTGCCCGGGCACGGAGGGTTCGGGAGGCGCGGCGAAGCTGCCTGCGAGCCTCCCGGCTCCTCCGGTTGCTCCTCCTGCTGCTGCTGCTGCTGCGGCAGCCGCCGCCGCCGCCGTCGCTGTTGCTGCTGCTGCCGCCGCCGCCGTGCGCGCTCAGGCCGGCTGCCAGGGGCTGCGTGTGGCTACACATCCCTGGGACATGCCGCCTCCCGCAGCTCGACGACTGCGAGAGGAGGGAGCCAGGAAACCCAGAGCCCCCAAACAGCAGGCGGACGTTCCTCTCCCGCCCAGCCCGATCACCTCTCACCTGCGACTCCTTTAGCCTCTGCTGGGGGAGGGAGGGAGGGGGGAAGAGGGAGCGGAGGAGAGACGCCTTTCTCCAAACCGGAGTAGGATTGGCGCCTCCTCCTCCTCCTCCTCCCCCCCCCTCCCGGCCAGACCAGGAGTTCTTCTCCCGCGTTCTCGTCCCAGCGTGCAAATTGCCCCGTCGCTCTAGCTAGCCCGCTGAGGGCTTCCTCCTGCTGTTGATTCGAATTCAGGGCTTCCAGGATCGACCCGAGACTCCCGCCGGGTCAACAATCTTGGGCCTTTCAAAAGCCTTCCTGTATTTTGGGTTGCATTTTGCCTAAGCGTTTGTGGCTGGGCAGCCCGTTTCATCACACGTGCAAGGTAGGGTCCTAAGGAAGGTAGATTGTGATGTGCCAAAGCTTGTTGCTATGTTCGTTGGAAACTTTTCATGGGTAATTTGCGGGTTGCATCCAGCACACTCCCAGTCAGTCCATATATCCATTCCAGAGCAAGTTACATGTCATTCAGTTTTGCTAGCAAAAAATATAGCTTGATATTTATTAAACTTCAGCAAACATCAAAAACTGGCAGAAAGGGTCAAAAGGCAGGCAAACTCTAGGAAGTAAGAGACATGAACAGAGACAAAAGGATAGACAGCTTATTATCAAGAATCTACGTTATTTATAGGTATAATATCAAAAGGTCCAGAGCCATGGAAAACAATCATGTGGGTCATTACTA